TTAAAAAAAAGAAAAAGGGAGTTTACCGCGGACTCCCTAATTCTTACTAATAATTGAGTTTAAAGTTCTGAATTATTGGTTTTTTTTATATCTTAACTTTTTCTCTGAATATTGCCAAATATATTAATTACCAAAAATACTATTTTAACCGCATTTTTTTTTATTCTAATTTTAATTCTTGCTTAATTATTTTCATTTTCTTTTCGGCTAAATTTTTTAAATAGTTATTGTTTTTTTCTAATATTCCACTAATTTTTGGTTGGTAATCACAATAATTTTTTTGAATCATTCCTAATTTTTTATTCAATAAATCAATCAATTTGAGTTTAAATTGGTGATAATTAAGGCCTTGTAAGTCTTTTTCCGCATCTTTTATTCCTTGATTGTTTAATAAAGCATAAATAGTTAGGAGATTAGAAACACCAGGTTTTTTTTCCAAATCATAATAGATTTTATTTTCGCTGTCAGTTTCCGCTTCCTTAATTTTTTTGATAACTGTTTCCGGATTATCTAACAAACCAATATAATCATTTTCGCTTTTTGACATTTTTTTTTGGGGGTTTTTTAAGCCCATAATTTTTCCACCTAAATCAGAAATTTTGAGAGTGGGAAGTTTTAATAGTTGTTTACCATAAAAATTATTGAATTTATTAGCCAATTCAGTGGTTAACTCTAAATGTTGTTTTTGGTCTTTACCTACAATAATTAAATCGGGGTCATAAAGAAAAATATCGGCTGCCATTAAAACTGGGTAAGTCAATAAAGCCAAATTACCGGTATCCTGCTCTCTTTTTTTTTCTTTATATTGTATCATATTAGACAAAACGCTAATGGTAATATGAGGGGATAACAAAAAAGATAATTCTAAATGTTCCTTAACTTGGGATTGAATAAATAATTTACAATTTTGCTCTTTTAAACCACAAGCATATAACAGGGCTGCTATTTCCCGACTTTTTTGCGAATAATCAAAATCTTTTTTAGGAACTGTTAAAGCATGTAAATCAGCAAGCATTATAATTACTTCATAATCTTCTTGAAGTGCTAAAATAGGTTGAATTAATCCACAATAATTCCCTAAGGTAAGGGTTCCGCTGGACTGAATTCCAGTAAAAAAACACGGTTTAGACATATATTAATATAATAAGTTTTTGAAAATTTTATTTGTTTTCGGTTTAGTTTGCGAGGCATTTTTGTTAATTTTTAACCACTAAATGCTTAGGAAAGTTATTTCTAATACTCAACCTTTTCAAAAAATCACTATAATATTTAAAATCTAACATATAGGAGGATTCTATCAGAGATAGATAAATTTATTATAAAGAAAAAATAGAACAAAACATATGAACTTATGACAAAACAATTCCAAAAATTTAGGTGTCTCATAAGGGGAAATGCCGAGAAAAAGAGAATTAGAGAAAGTGAAAAGAAAGAATTAATAAATATAATTCATTGACAAAAAAAATAATAGGGATAGTAGTAAGGTTAGTTCTTTTTTTACTGATGCTTTTTTTTCTTTGGTTAACCATTGGTCGAGAGGCTATTTTGCTAGTGTTAAATGGTTCTTTCTTGAAATGTCGGCGTTCCGTTGTAGCATTAATTCTGATTTTTCTCGTTCCGGTGGGGATTGGTTGGGTAATTTCAGGAGGGAGAATTTTCGGTTGGAAATTTAAAAATTTCGGGAATGAATTATTGGCTCATCTCTTTTTTTCATTTGTCCTTTTTGGGGCGTTTTGACTGCTATTTTCTATCTCTTATATAATTTATAAAAATTTTTAATAGGACCTTCCTAAATAGACCATGTTTTCGGCTGTCAGTTCACAAAACAAACATTTTTTTGAACTGAGTATTTTTTCTTTTTCAGAAAGGTTTAACTCTTTGATACACCTAATACTATATGAAGGCACCTTTTCTTTTATTTTTATTTCGCAGTCCAAAGTATTACAAAAGGGAATCAAAAACAAACCTACAACTTTTTTCTGAATTATTTTTTCCAGTTCGGAAAAGTTATCTACTTGGTAAATGTGTTTATCTCGATAATCCACACTTTTTTGATAAAGGGTTTTTTGAAATTCAGCTCTTTCTCTGCTAATAACCCCAATAATTTTCCCTGCTTTTTCTCCTTTTTGGAAGGAATCGATAGGAATTTCATTTTTATTTTCTAACGCTTTTCGAACTTTTTCATTTTCGCCATGAATTTCGTTCAATTTCTCAATAAAATTTTTGTATATTACCAAAGTTTTTTTTTCAACTTCGCTGCTTTCTAAACTAATTGTAACTTTTCGCTCCACATTATCTCTTCTGACAAGGGTAATTTCATTTTTTTTCAATTCTTCCTTTCCTAATATTATTTTGAAGGGACAACCCTCTTTGTCGGCTTGGAGCACGTTTAAATTAACGCGAGAACTTTTATTATATAACTGACAACGATAATGGGGAGTTAGTGAATTGTATATTTCTTGATAATAATTAAATAATTCTTCGCTTTCTCCAATAATTATAAAGGCAATTTGAACCGGAGCAATATCAAAAGGCAAAATTATTCCTCAATTGTCGGCATGGGTTTTCACAATCGCACCGATAGCCCGAGTAGAAGTCCCCCACGAAGTAGAGTGCGGAAATTGAAATTGGTTGGTGTTGTTTTGATATTTAACTTCCATTAAGCGACAAAAATTATCGCCAAAATAATGGCTGGTGGCAAACTGTAAACATTGCCCGTCCGGTAATAAACATTCTACGGTGTAGGTTTCCAGTGCTCCGGCAAATCTTTCCCCAGCGGTTTTTTTGCCAACTATAACTCCCAAACAAAGGGTATTTTCAGCATAATCTTGATAATCGGCGAGAATATTTAAGGCCAATTGGCGGGCTTCTTTTTCGCTACTGTGTAAGGTATGTCCTTCCTGCCATAAAAATTCAGTATTGCGAAAAAAAGGGGTGGTGTTTTTTTCGGCTCGGAAAGCCGAACACCACTGATTATATAATAGTGGTAATTGTTGATAACTTTGGAGAATTTGTTGGTATCAGTGATAAAACAAAACCTCACTGGTGGGTCTTAAAACTAAGGGGTTTTCAATTTTTTTTTCACCAATTCTTTCGATATAAAAGCACTCCGGGCTAAATCCGGCGATATGTTTTTTTTCTTTTTCTAATAAATCAAGCGGAATAAGGGTTGGCAAAAGAACATTTTGCACCCCCCGAAGCAAAAATTTTTTATCCAAAGCATTTTGGATATTTTTTCAGAGAGCATAACCGCAGGGCGGTAAGATAAAACTTCCTTTGGTTGTCCCATAAAAAAATAATCCTCCTTCCCTGAGTAATTTGCTATACTTGTCCTCTTTTTCCATAAAATTTAAGTTTTGTTTTTCTAAATATCCTCTCCCTCATCGGGGTAGTTTCTTCGAGGAGGAATATTGCGTTTGTTGCGTTCATTATTTTCTCGGTCATTAACTCGATTTTGGAGAGTTCTTCGTAAATCTTCTTTGAAAACCTGAGCGTCAAGCATAATTTTAGATTTATTTTCCTTAACTTTAATTGCCAAAGTCTCCGTAATTGCCTTTTGTAAGTCTCGGAAAGAAAAACCTTCTTTTTTAGGTCTAAATTCGGCTTGGATTTCTTGAACGAATTGATAAACATCAGTTCAAAAATTTTTGTTTCATTCCACTTTTCATTTTTTTTCTTTTCAATTATCTTCCATTACTTTTTGAAGATAATCCACCATTTTTTTGGTTTCTTCCTTAGTGGGATAGTTAACGTAAATTCGGCGACCTAACCGACCGGGTCGCACCAAGCCTTCATTTAGGACTTCGGGGTTATTAGTAGTGCCGATTACGATAATATTTAAGTTTTCGCGATTTATTTCGTCAAAAATTTTTAACAAACCATCTACTTCGACTTTTGATGAACTATTAGCACCGGAAAGGTCTTTGGTTCCCACTGAGTCAATTTCCTCAATAATAATTGCGATTGGTTTAGTTTCCCCTCGAACCGCATTTAATTTTAATAATTCTTTTGCCTCTTTGAAAACTTTTTGCTGTTTTTCAATACTGGAACCGACTCAGATTTGTGATTCGAAATGAGCGAAAACAAAACCGGAAGTTTCATTATGACCAAACTCTTCGGCGAAAAAACTTTTTCCGGTGCCGGGTGGACCACAAAATAGGACATGCTTATCAAGTTCTTGTTTTTTGCTTAGATACTTTGGCAAAAGTTTAAAGCAGTTAATTCAAATTTTTACTTCTCGATTGGCATCTTTTTGAACGATTAATTCGTCCACCCAATTCTTATTTTGCCGAGCTGGGTCAGGCTTCACAAATGTACTGGTTTGCCCGCGAACATCATCATTACCGCCTCTTCCTCCACCTGTTCCTACTGTTCTTATCTCTTCAAGGGCAATCATTTTTTTCAAACAGGAGAGCAGTTCAGGGTGAATTGTTGCATTGGTTGCTATCTTGTGAATTCTCCTAATCTCATTACTGGTGCTGTAATTAACAGTGAAAATAAGCAATGAACTGAGAAGAAAACTCCCGAAAATTAAATAATGAAGTTCATATTTTTTTCAGTGACTTTTTTCCTGAGGTGGTATATTGTTTTCCTTTCCCAGTTGGTTAACATTAATGTCTAGATTCATATTTTATTATTTATATTATTAGTATATTTTATGCTTTTGTATTAGTGTAAAACTTGCTACCGCTTAATTGTTTTTCTAACTCTTGGTAATAATCCGTTTCTTCTTTTTTAGTTAGAGGGCAAACCACTAAGGCTTTTCAAAAAGATTTTTCTTGCTCTATTATTAGTTCTAGTTTATTTTCCTCGATAAAATTTTTTATTTTAACTATTTCCTTTGGTTCGGAAGAAACTAATTCTTTTTCTTTTTCCTCATAGGTTATTTTTTCTCAAATTTCGCTTGGTAGATAAGTCAGTAAATATTCTTCTAAATTATTATTACTTTCTTTTAGGTTAATTTTTAAGCTATATAATGGTTGGAAATAATTAGAAAGCAGAGAGAGAGGGAGCATTTTCAAATTTAATTTTTTAGTTAAATCAGTAGTAATATCCTTATTATTCTCTAAATAAATCAAAATCCCATACGGAGCCTGATAAAGAACCCGCGAAGAATAATTTTGTCCTTTCTCATTTTTAATTTTTTCTCAAATCTGATAAACTTTTTCTTTGGGAAATTTATTCTCTCGGGCAATACTTAAAGACTTTTCGTTGACTTGGTGCTCTTCTCGAATAATGTTTTCGATTTTTTTGCGTAATTTGAGAAAAAGTTGACTGCGGGCATTATCTTGCCGGTCTTTGCGATATTTAATGTTGGAGGAGTGAGAATGACCTGCCATGGTGATTATTATTTAGGAAAAATTATGTTCGTTTTTTTTTTTTTTTTGCGGATTGGTTGTAGAGCCAAAATAAAGCAAAAGTAATAATGATTAGCAGCATACAGAGAAATAATAAAAATGACAACCAGTCTTTTTTATCGTTGTTGGAAAGAGAAGGTTTTGGCAAATGATTAGGGTTGTCAATGGAGGAAAATCAACTATAATCGCAGAATTCATTTTTTAGGTTAAAAGGAAGAATAACAAGTTTTTTTTGATTGTTTTCTAATTCAATTTTAGGACTCAGTTCCGGAATTTTTTCTGAAAAATAAACATTTACTATTTTTTCTGGGCGAAAATTATCAAAAATTATTTGGCAAAAATCATCTACAAATCCAAAAAAAAATTTACCGACACAGAAATCAAGTTGGTTAATCTCAATTTTCCCACCGATATTTATCGGTTTTATTTTTACTGTTAATCTTCCTCTTTGTTGGTCTCATTTTGACCCATTTTTGATGGGGCTTACGGTTAGAGAATTGCCAGCGAAGGAAAATTTTTCAATTCTTCTATATTGTCAACCCGGAAAAGTTATTTTTTTTTCTGTGTCATTAATTCTACTATTATCTATTCCTTCCCATCATCATATTTCCCACACATAATTCTTTTTTGCGTCTCCATAACCCGAGCCTATAAATTCAAGATAACCATCAGTATAAATAACCAACTGCGAATATTCTTTCCCTCGGTAATCAAAAGGTTTGGTGGTAATTAGGTATTTACGTAGATAATAAGTGCCAGTTTCCTCATCCTGGATTTTTTGTCCTGGATTTTGAATTTCGAAAGGAGTTTCTTGAAGGTGAAAGTCCTCGATAATGAACTGAATTTTTATTTTTTCCATGTTCTACATTAGGAAAATATTTCCCAGTTTATCGTTTGGAGTATTGTTCTTTTTTACGGGCTTTCTTAAAACCAATTTTCTTTCTTTCTACTCGGCGAGCATCACGGGTTAGAAGGGAAAAACTTTTCAAAGTTATTCTATATTCCGGTGAAACTTTTAACAAAGCCCGTGCTACACCTAACCTAATTGCTTCGGCTTGGCTGTGAAAACCGCTCCCGCTTACTCTTACCACTAAATCATAATCATTTTCTTTGTTAAATAATTTAAGCGGTTGACAAATATCTTTACAGAGGGAAGGTTCCATATAAAAATAATCTTTTAAATCCTTTTCTTTGCCATTTTTGGTTCTAACTTGGGCTAATCCATTGCCTTCTTTTAGATAAACCCGAGCGGTGGCTTCTTTCCGCCGACCTATTCCAATAAAATAATTCTTATCCATATTTATAATTTATTTAATTTTGGGGGAGATAATTAACCTCAATTTTAGCCTCTTTTTCAGAAAGTAATTGATTTTCTTGTAAATATTCTAAATGCTTTTGTAAATTATTTATTTCTTGCTGTTGGTTTAGAATAATTTCTATTTCAGAGTGGTATTCAGATAAAATTTCTTTTAGTTCAGAAAAATTATCTGAACTAGATTTTTCAGTAAGCAGTTTTTCAAATAAATATTTTTCAGACTTGCTTAATTTATTTTTAAAACTATTAATTGCTTCGGCTAATTCAGTTTTTTTATTAGGGATTTGAATAGTTAAATCCCTAATTTTTAAGTCGGTGATTTCAGTTTCTAAATTAGGATTATTCACCGGTAAGGGGAATAATATTTGCTTAATTTTCTCTAAACTCTTTTGGTTTTCCTTTGCTTGGGGAAGGCGAAATAAATTAGTAAGATTATTATATTCTAGTTTATTGAACGGAATATTTTGGTAAACTGTTTCTAGAAAATTAATAGAGTGAGCGGGAGCATTTTCTCCTTGGTGTCAGTAATAGGTTTCTTTACCTCCCCAGGCAAGCAAACTCCCGATTATTATATGTTTAATTTTGCTTTTCCAAGTTTGCGCTGCTTTAACTTTCTTTGCCTGCTTTTTCAAATCATTAAAACTAATATTCCTAATATCACTATTACTGGGATAAAGTATGGTGGCTAAGTCCCGTAATTGGGACTGAAAATTAGTTTTAGTCTGATTATGCTGTTGCTGTTCTTGGGCTAATTCAGTTTCTAAGCGAGTTTTGGTTTGCTCTAAAAGATTTAGTTTATTTTCTAGGCGAGTAATTTTAGCGGTTTTGTCGGCTTCTTGGGTTTTCGCGGTTTGGAGTTCAGTTTGGGTTTGGGTGATTTTATTTTCTAATTCAGTAATTAATTGGGCTTTATTTTGGTATTTTTCTTTTCAGGCTCTTGCTACTCTATGCGGATTGTCTAATTTTCAGGCTTCCAAATCATAATCAAAAGGGCGAAGTTGGTCTTGAATAGCGGAGCATTTGGCATTGGTGCCATTAGGGGAGCATTGGATATATAAATAACGTCCTCATTTGGTTCTTTGGGTGAATCATTCTGGTAAATATTCTAATCCTTCTTTTACATCGGTGGCTTCAATACAAATAACAGTTAGTCTAACTAAGTTTTGGAAAGATTTGAGGGAGCCGTAGAATTGGTTGCGTTTGCCTTTTCTTAAAACTTCTTCCATGGTTCCTATACACAAAGTTATTAAATTGGTAAACTTGCTAAAAAAGGCAATGTCAGTGGGTTGGATATTGTTGTTGAAAATCCCTACTGATTCCAACTTTTCCAGATTAGGTAATTGGTTTAGGAAGTCGACAGAGGTAAGGTTGTTATCGGAGCAAGAAAGTCAAACTAAATTAGCACAACTGCTTAAATCTATGGAGATTAATTCATTACCTCGGCAATCTAAACGACTTAAATCAGCCAAACCACTCACATTTAAATTAGTTAAGGGAGTTTTTAAACCCTTAGTTCCATTAATATTCACTTTAATCAAGTTCACAAACTCCCTTAAATCTAATCCCCCTCCCTCTAATTCAAAATTTTCATCTTCTTCTTTCTCTTTTTTAAAAATATCTATCAAATCAATCTCTTTAACTCCCTCTTTATCTTCCTTAGTGGGATACTGCTGATTTAAATATTCTTGTAAAGTTACCATAATATTAATTATTATATGTTTTATACCTTTTTTTCTCAGAGATGTTTGCTAATGGTTTTATTCTCCTAGTCTTTTTAATTTAAAATTAATTATACTTCTCCGCAATTTAAGGATATGGAAACTAAGTTATTAATTACAGACATTAAAAAAAAAATTGAGGAAAAAGAAAAGGAAATCCGAGAAGTTTGGGAAAAAATTAGAAAAGAAAAAGAGGGACCGAAAGAAGAAATTATTGAAGAGTTGAAAGGGATTAAACGCACTACCGGTCAGCATCCCGGCGGATTATTAATTACTTTGCCTGAAACCGACATTCAAAAATATACTCCTTTAAATTATCCGGCCGATAATCGGCAATCGGAATGAATGACTACCCATTTTGAATATAGTTTTTTATCTGAAATATTTTTAAAAGTTGATATTTTGGGACATGACGAACCCACTATATTACAAAAATTATTTCAATTGACCGGAGTTGACCCGGTTCAAATATCTTTTCGGAATGAAAAAATAATGCAACTTTTCACTCAGGCTGATACTTTGGGAATACCCGAATTTGGCACTGATTTTGTCAAAAGAAATCTGCTAACTCCTTTGAAACCAACTAAATTTTCGCATTTAGTCCAAATTTCCGGTTTTTCTCACGGAACTAATGTTTGAACTCAAAACCAACAAACTATTTACAAAAATGGTGATTTGGCCTTAGGTCAATTAATCGCTTGTCGAGAAGATATTTGAAACTTTTTGGTTTCATGGGGAGTTGATAACCGAAAGGCTTTTATTGCTACCGAGTTCATTCGGAAAGGAAAGTGGGATAAATTAAGTGAAAGTATTAAACAAGAAATTAAGGATAAATTAAATGATAAAGAAGGGGAAATTTATTTTTCTATCCTCAGTAAAATAAAATATATTTTTCCTAAACCGCATGCCATAGCCTATACTATGACAGCATGACGAACCGCTTTTTACAAAGTTTATTATCCTCCCGAATTTTATTCGGTCTTATTAACTTACCACGCCACAGTTTACGATATTTGGCTAATGACTTTGGATTTAGAAACTATTAATTTTCGTTTAGAAAACTTGTTAAGTAATATTTCGGTTTATAAAAGTAATGAAAAAGAACTATTTTCAATTATTAAGGTTTTTGAGGAATTAAATAAGGAAGGGAAAAGAATGCAAAAAACTATCGGCAAAAATAAGTCCTTTTGGGAAGCGTGGGAGAGAATGAATATTGAAAAAGTTTTAGCCAAAATATATGAAAAGATAAATAATTCAGGGAATAAAAGTTTAATTGAAAATCTGCGAAAAAACGGAAAAACTTGAAAATTAACTGCCAAAGAAAAAGGTCTATTATTTACCCTAAAAGTGATTTTGGAAATGGAATTGAAAGAATTAAGTTTTTCGCGTGGATTAGATTTCAATAAGTCAGAAATCAGAGATTTTAAAATTGAAAACAATACTATTTATTTTCCGATTACTGCCATTACCGGGATTGGAGAAAAGTTGGCCGAAAAAATTATCACTTATCGGCAAGAAAAAGGGAAAATCGGAAGCAATTGAAAAGAGGAATTGACCGGCTTATTGAATGTTAACCATATTCAACAATTAGAGAATTTAGAAAAGTATAATTTGATAATTAATTTGTAAAATAACTTTAATAAATTACATGAAAAAAAAACTTCGTTCTAATCCGCTTCGTAAATATAACCGACTGTTTAAATTTTTATCTTTCGATTTAAGTTTTTCGGCTTGTGTTCTTATCACAGTAATTATTTTAATTTACTTAGTGGTGATGGCAGGGATATTTTACTTTTTGAAAGTCAAAGAAGGATGAAATGTTTTTTAAACTAAAATTATATGAAACAGTATAAAGTAATTGCCGAAGAACCAACTTCCAAAGGATACCGGTTCACCCAAATTGAAGGAAAAAAAAGAAAAATCTGAATTGATAAAAAAAAGCACTCTCTCGATATTGTTCCAAAAAATTTATACCTGATTGAAGCCGAACGAGATTTAGATTCAGAGAATATAAAAAATAATGGAAATATAAAATTAGAAACTTTTTCTTCAATTAAGCCGTTGTCTGAACCAGTTCCAAAAGAACCGAAAGTTAAAATTAAACCAACCGAAGAAAAAAATATTTATCGCTGGTATATTTTATCAGCACGGGGCGGAAGAGAAGAAAAAGTTATGAAGGACATTAGGCAAAAACTAGCCGAAAAAAAAGAAATGGAGCAGGAAGTTAATGATTTAAAAATAGCCAAAAGTGCCAGCAAGAAGAAAGTTATTAAGGGTTATATTCTCGGTCATTTTCACTTAACTCCGCAATTGGTAAGTTTTCTTTACAATATTCCGGGGGTAATTGGTTTTTTAAATCATGAAAAGAAAGATAAAAAGTTGCCGAGTTTTGTTTCCGAAAGAGTAATTGAAAATTTCTTCGCCAAAATACAAGAAAAAAAAGAAGTAAAAATAGCAGTTGGTGATGACTCTAAACTAAAAGTAGGGGATTTGGTAAGAATTACGGAAGGAATATTTGCGGGTGCGGATTATGAGGGTCGAATTGTCCATTTAGATGAAAAAAAACAGAAAGTTAAAATCGTTACTGAAAGTTCAGGTTGAGAAATTTCCGATGTGCCAATGAAAGTTTGTCAAAAAATTTTAAGTTAAATTTAAAGCAAATAAGGGTATGAATAAATGCGATAGTTGTGGCATCCAAGAGAGAGTTTGTTGAATTAATTATAGTAAGTCAGTTAAACGAAAAAGAAATTGAGAATCGGAATTCCTAGCCAAAAAAAGGGTAGTTAAAGATAATGATTTCCGGTTTTGTTCTCCGTGCGAAACAGAGAAACAGAAGTTAAGGAATTCCAAGCCGCGGAGGTAGTCAGAGAGTTGAACCAAAAAAATTTAACCGATACTGAATGTTTCCCTCCCAACTATTTGAAGCCAAGTAATTTTACTGCCGAGGGTGCTTGGAAAGTTCAAAAGGCCCTCACCGAAAATATTAAACGGCATAGTGAAGAGTGAAAAATTATCCAAACCAAACTTTTAAATGGCGAACGGGAATATTACCATGATTGAAACGGCGATTACAGAAATAGCGAATTAGAAATATTAGTCCACCAGTCTGCCAAAATAGAATACGGAGAAGACAATTTCCTAAAAAGAGAGGATAATAAAATGTATCTTGAAGAATATTTTCCCTCCGAACAGTGAACTGAAATCAAAAAATCCTTAAAAGAGGCAGAAGAAAACAAAAAAGAGCAATCGAAACCAAGCATATTATCACTCGGAGCAACCTTAACAATTATTATAATAATTCTGGTAATAGTTTCAATAACTTTATACTCAACTGTTAAAAAAAAGAAATTAAAAAGTTAAAATCCTAATTAGTCCTTCGGTTGGGGTCAATAGTTGTCAAAAAATTTTAGGTTAAAATTCTAATTGTTTAATAAAATTAATAATTCTTAATAGTAGTTCAAAATCTTGCTTAGAAAAGTTTTAAGTTGAAACCGAATTATAAAAATTTTTCTGATAATTTAATATTTTCAGCATTTAACAAAATCCAAGACCAGAATAGAGTTAAAAATTTCGTATTTTTATAATTTAGTTTATTGGTTCATTGAAAACTGGAATTTCTGGTATCGACTATTCAAATGATTTCCGAGTTCATTAATATTTATTCTTTTCTCTTCTTGTTTCATGGTATCGCGGTGGCGGAGAGTAACCGTATTATAATTAGGGTTGGGTTTATCGGCGGAAAATTCTTCGACTGTTAATGCGTCAATGGTTAGACAATAATAAGTGCCGATAGCATCTTGGCGTCGATAACTTTTGCCGATATCACCTTCCTCGTAAGCCACCGAAAAACTGCCAAATTTCAGCAACTCCGAATACACTTCTCGGGAGCGATTTTTTATTTTTTCTCGGTAATTTTTGTTTGCTAATCAAGGAATAATAGCCACAAAATAAGGGGCTAATAAAGGAGGTAATTTTAAAATTTGCCGTTTTTCTAGTCTGCTATGGCGAGAGTTTTCCACTTCTTCCTCCTGATAACTATCTTCTAAAATTGCTAACATTAATCTTTCCACTCCGAATGAAACCTCAATTACTTCGGGAATAACGCCATTAATACTAAGTTCTTTTTTGGAATGTTGGCTATGTTGAGACAAGTCGTAATTACCGCGGTGGCTATTACTGCATAATTCTCCTCAACCGAAATGGTATTGAAAATAAAGGTCTTGGGTCTTTTTGGCATAATGGGGTATTTCTTCATTTTTCAGATTTAACGTTTTTATTTTTTCCTGGTCGTTGATAATAATTTTTTTCAGAAAGTTCCATGCTTTTTCCGTCCAATAACTCCACCACTTTTCGCCTTCCTCGCCTCGGCAAAAAAATTCTAATTCCATTTGTTCGAATTCGCGAGTGCGGAAAATGCCGCGGTGGAGGGTAATTTCATTGCGAAAACTTTTGCCAATTTGACCGATACCGAATGGTAATTGCCGACGGGTGCTTCTTTGAATGGCAGAAAAATTAACAAAAATGCCTTGACAAGTTTCCGGTCGCAAGTAGACCATATTTTCTTTTCCATCGGTTATTTCTAAATTGGTAGACAAAAGCAAATTAAATTGCCGGGGAGGGTGAAAATCATTCTTGCCACAATGAGAACAATTATTTTTCATTTGATAATTATTTTTATCCTCTTTTTCTAAAAAGTTAAGAAATTCATTAGTATCAATTAAATTATCTAACCGATATCTCTTTTGACAAACACGGCATTCTATTAACCAGTCATGAAAATTTTTTAAATGTCCGGAGGCTTCTAAAACTTGGGGATGAGTAATTATTTGACTATCAGCACCCACATTGTAAGCGTTAGAAGTAATAAAATATTTTCACCACAAATTTTTTAAATTCCTTTTTAGCTCAATTCCATACGGACCTAAATCCCAAGATTTAGCTAAACCACCATAAATTTCAGCATTAGGAATAATAAATCCATGTTCTTTAAAATAAACAGACAAATCTTTTTTCGGCATCTATAAATCTTATTTTAATATTTTAGTTTCCTTTTCCTGTTTAGAGGGGATTTTAGTTAGTAAAATACTAACAATTACAGCATTTTAAATTTTTTAAAAATACAAAACAAAGAAAATATTTATGGTAAAATAGAAATATAACGATAAAAATAGAGAAAAGGATATTAAGGAAAAAACTTTTTATTTCTTTTTAAAAAATAAGGATTAAGAGAAAAAATATAGGATAGTTGTTTTCGGTTTGTGAATTATTAACAATTTTCTTCCTAATGAAAATAAAATAACATAATTATTATGAAAAACATTAAAAAAAGTTCAATTAAAAATAGAGTCTTTGGCTTGTTTTTATTATTTTCTTTATTAGTTATTATTCCGGTCGGAATAACCATTTTAAGAAGCCAAAATTTTCAAGAAAAGAAAGCAAAACCAGCTGAAAAATCGAATGAAAAATCAGATAAAAATTTTCCTAAAAAAGAAAAAACTCCCTTGCTCGATAATCAAAAAAAACACTTTCTACCAAAAAAAAATCAGCCAGTTTCGGAACAAAAAAACAAAGACTTAATAAAACCAAATAAAGAAAAAAATCAGAGTATTTTATCCTTAACTAATGGTTTGTTTAATTCGGTTTGGAAATTTAGAGAAAACCCCGTACCAAAGAAACTCCCGACTCCCCTAGAACCAAAAGAAAAGGAAAACAAATTAGAGAGTGAAAGGTGAATGAAAGGGGATGATATATACCATTTCTATAATTCAATGGAGAAGGATAAGGAAATCCTTTTGCTTGACCCGCTTTATTTAGGAGATTTAGCCAACAAAAAAGGAGAAAGACGCCTTTCTTCAATCAATAGTTTAGTTAAAAAAAAATTAGCCAAAAATAAGTTGGTTTTTATGCCCGCCAACCACGGAAATATCCATTGGAGTTTATTTGTTTATGAAGGGGAAAATAATACTTTTCACTATTATGATTCAATGAATAATTTTAATTTTGCTTATTTTTCTCCTCTCGGCATGGAAATATTAAAAAAACTTCCTGCTTCTGCTTCGCTTAAATCAGAAAAAACTCCTCAACAACCCAACGGAAATGACTGCGGAGTATATGTAATGGTAATTACTGATTTTCTAGCCAAAAGATACCGAGATAATTCCTCCAAAATGAATTGAAAAATAAATAAAGAAGCCGAAGCAAAAATTCATAAATCGGTGCGGAAATTAAGGAAAAAAATGACTTAATTATTTTTCGAACTAGAATTATGGTTAAGTTAAAATGTTAAAATAAATATATAATTATGTTATACTACTATACAAATCCTAATTGAGATGCGGGGTGATTGGTCGCCGGCGGAATATTTTTATTGATACTTATTGGTTTGTGAATTTGAATGATGGTTTATGCCACTAAAAAGAAAGGCGTGGTTGGATTTTTGCTGGTATTTCTTTTAGGTATTATTGGATGAATTGTTGTCCTTTGTCTCCCGGCTGATAATGAAGCACAAGAGAGAGAGAGAGAGCAGATTTTCGTTGCGGAATTTGCTATATCAAATATCGAAGTGAATTATTGGGTGGAGAAACCGTTCGAGAAGGAAAAATATGTCGTTTCTGTTTAGAAAAAAAACAAAAGGAGAAATCCTAATCAGTAAATAATTTTAAAATTATATTATAGAACTCTTATGTTGGCAAGGTTAGAAAAAAATATAAAATAAAATAAAATAAATGGCACAGAAAACTAGTCCCTACGCCTTTCGTTTAGGTTATAATGAAGATTGGAATAACTACTTTTTTTTGAAAAGTAAGGAAAAAAGTTTCGATTGGTTAAAAAGAGATAAGTTAATTCGTGATTATTTTGCTTCTCTTTTCCCTGATACCGCCCAGTTGAAAGTTGAATACACTAGAAATGCCATTTTCATTTATCTTTATATCCCCGAAATTAATTTAGTATTGGGAGAAAGTAACGAAAAGTTAGACAAAATACTCAAAGACATTTATGCTCTAATTAATGATAGTAAAATTGCGGTTAAAATAAATTTAATTGAAGTAAAAAAAGTTTATGCCAACGCTCAGGCAATTGCTAATTTGATTGTCGGTCAATTAAAAAAGCGAGTTAGTTCCCGACAAATTTTTAGAAGCATAGAAAGAAATTTAAGCGAGGAAAGAGAGGTAAGAGGGTGAGCGATTCGGGTCAAAGGGTTAGTTGATGGTAATGAAATGGCTCAAAAAAAGAAAAATGTGCGGGGTCGAATGTCGCTCAACACCAAAGATAGTAATGTTAAAGAAGGGAATGCCAAAGCACTCCTGAGTCGGGGAGTAGTCGGAGTTAAAGTTTTGCTCTATAAAGGAAAGTTCTGAAAATCAAGTAAATAAAAAGTTATGTTAACACCTAAAAAAACCAAGTATCGTTATTCTCATATCGTAAAATATGAAGGACATGTCAAAGGAAACGGCAAAGTTGACTTTGGTGAATATGGTTTACAAGCCCAAGAGGGAATTTATATTAGTAATCGAGCCATCGAAGCGGCTCGGAAAGTTATCAGCCCTTATGTCAAAAAAACTGGTAAAATGTGAATTAGAGTTTTTCCCCACTTAGGAAAAACCAAAAAACCATTAGAAGTAAGAATGGGTTCTGGTAAAGGTTCGATAGACAGTTGAGTAGCAGTAGTTAAGGCCGGAACAGTAATTTTTGAAGTTCAAGGGATACCCAAAGAGACCGCTTACAAAGTTTTAAAACAAGTTAGTTATAAATTACCTAAAAACAATGGAGAAATCAAAGCCAAATATAAAATCGTCGAAAGAAATGAATAAAGAACTAAAAAAAGAAGTAAAAGTAAAGGAAAAAAAACCATTAACCAAAGAGGAATTATTATCTCAATATCGTTCCGCTCTAATGGTTCTCCGAATGAAAAGCAAAATGGGGCAATTGAGCCAAACCCACCAAATAAAACAATTAAAGAAAGAAGTTGCTCGTTTGCTTACCAAAAACTATTCACCGCCAGCAAAATCAAAATAAATAATATATGAATCAAAAATTTACCGGGACAATAATTCGCTACCAGAAACCAAATGCCAATCAAAAGATAAAAACGGCAACCGTAGAAGTAATTAGCACTAAATTACACCCTCGCTATCACAAACCAATTAAAACCAAAAATACTTATCAAGTTCATAATGAAGAATACGAGTTAAAAGTGGGAGATAGAGTGGTAATTAAAAGTTGCCGACCACGTTCTAAAACTAAAAGGTTTTTAGTGGTTGAAAAAATAGAACCGCAGAAGTGTTTATAGTATAAAATATTAATTATTATTACCTTATTCATTTTAACTGTCTGTTTTTTTGATAAAACTAAACTACAAAGTAATTAGATAAAGATAAAAGCGGAAATTAATTTTGCATACTGTTAAACGATAAAATAATAGTATCTTTCTTATGTTTTTGACAAGAAAAAAATAATCAAATATGTTACAAAACGAATCAATTTTATGAGTGGCAGATAACTCCGGAGCCAAAAAAATATTAGTAATCCGTTGTTTGGGTGGTTCTAACCGTCGATATAGTCGAATTGGGGATTTAGTAATTGCGACAGTCAAAAAAGTGGACCCTAGTTCCGAAAAAGTTCAAAGTGGGTTAATAAAAAAAGGTCAAATCGTAAAGGCATTGGTGGTTACTACTCGCAACTGTTTTCGGCGCCGAAATAATACTTGAATAAAATTTAGTAAAAATTATGCAGTGGTAGTTGAAAGGAAAGAAGAGAAAAAATGATTACCATTTGCAGTTACTCGGATTTTTGTTCCTTTGTTGGCGGAATTTGACCAATGGGGTTATAAAAAAATGCTTTCTTTGGCACCAGAAATTTTGTAAAAATTAGCACTAGAATTAGCAATTCAGTTCCTCGGCAAGGTTTATAATTACTTTCAATTAAAATAAACTATATGAAAAAAAAAATACTTATTAACCAAATTACTTATCATTGTATCTCTTGCGACCAAGAATATCAAACTTTTTCCATGTCTGCTAAAAATACTCAAATACCCAATTGTGGAAACTGTAATCCCTTTTATACTGGCACTTCCGGGGGGGATATTAGAGTAGGAGCGGTGGAAAAATATCGTCAACGAGCAAATAAAGTTAAAGGACTTAAAAATACTAAAAATAATTTAAGGACTTAAAAATACTAAAAATAATTTAAGGTTGATAAAAAAGTCCGGAGATAAAGAAATTGAAAAATTATTCCAAAAAGAATTGGTAACTAATTTTCAGAAAATAGTCCAAGTGGCTTGGCGGAAGTTAAAAATATAAAAGACCAACAATTAAAATCAATTCTGGGAGAAATATATCAGTGGGAGTAAATTACCCCTGAGTTAAAGATTATTAGCAAAATAGTTAACAAAAAAAGAAATATTGCTCCTAAAATTGCTTTAAAATTAAGTTTATATGTTTTCTTCAACCAGTCTAGTTCTGATTAAATTGTCAACCATATTATTTAAAAGAAATTAAAAAGACCAATCACCTTCATTAAAAAATTAAAACCAAATAAAAAATAAAATGACAATAGATTTAAATTATCTTAATTTAGAAAAATTAAATAAACTTTGAGAAAATAACAAATATAAAGGGTTCGGGAATTTTAAAAAACTTCCATGCCGAGAGGTGGTTTGTTTATTCATTAAACAAAAAATCGAAAAGTTAGAAGCAGACGAAAGCGGAGATTTTAAAGGTATAAGTGCTAATATAGTGGAAATTAGAAATCGCTGAGGGTTTAATAAAGGTCTAGAAAAAGGTTTGAAGGCAGGAAAATGTAAACTTCCAGAAGAAGAAAGGGAGAAATATCGAAACATTTTTAAAAAGGTGGGCGAAGATAATTATGAATCGGCAGACGAAGGAGAGGGATTAAAAAAGAAAATGATTGGTGATGAATACACAGAAAATGATGGCGGTAAATTGCGATATGAACGGTTATTTGGTTTTACCAATAAATTAATTGCGATAATTGAACTGGAAAAATTTTTGCTAAAAGCGGAGAAACTATTTAAGGGAAAAGGAACTTCGGAAGAGGATTTAGCCCGAGATTTAAAAAAAATTAGAGAGATTGAAACTGATTTGGCGGAGTTTGCTAAACCGGAACAAGAAGTAGACGAATATATTCGAAAAGTTAGAGTTCTATCTCGACCCAATACTGATAATAAAACTTATTCTGAGGAAATCCAACGCTGTTTAAACCAGTTAAACCACCAGAAAGAAGAAACAGAAAAAGAAATTGAGAGAGAGCAGGAGCGTGAGAAAATTCTAATTCTAGAAAAAATCAAAGCAGCAAAGGAGTATTCGGAACTAGAAAGTGCGGATTTATCGGAGGCGGAAATTGACCGGAGACTTAATGGGAATTGTGGAATAGTTATCAATGGTTTAAAAATATTTTGTGATGCTAAAAAAGAATTGTTAAAATATGGATTTTTAGATACAGTTGGGAATTGTAATAAAGTCCAACGAAGTTTCAAAGAAAAATTTTCAGATTTTTTTAAAAGAACAAGAGTGAGAGTTTGCGGAAACCAACTTTGATTTGAGTTTATTTTTTTAGGAGTTGAACATAGTGAATTGGTTGAAATCAGAAAAATAGTCCAAAATACAGTTAACCAATTAGTAGCCGATTATAAAACTTTTTTTAAAAAGCATTCGGATATTCCCCAACCGCACCGAAAATATTGGGTAAATTCTGGTCTTTCTCCTAAAATCCCAGAGGGTTCTTTGGTTCGTGAATCTGAAATAGAAATAGCCTATAAAAAAGGTTGACAAAATCTAGGTAAATTAGTTGAGAAGGGAGAAATAAATTTACGAGAAGGAGAAAGGGGAGGAATGTTTGATTGAAAATGGCAAGGAGAAGAGTGACTGCATGGTCTTTTTTTCTTTCAAACTGACCGCGAGAAGACGGAGAAAATTGCGAAAAAAATAACTGAAATTCCCGGTCTAAGCGAAACCGAATTACAGATTGATTATGACAATGCTCGTTTGGATGAATTGAAGCGAACGGAGAGAGATAATATTCCCAACCAAGCCATTGAAAAATTACAGGAAGTGGTGGAAAATCAGTTAGCGGGAGACTGAGAAGCGTTTTTCAATGGCAAAGGTCGTCTAACCGACGATGCAAAAAAAGCCTGGAAAGGTAGTGGATTAAGTGCGTGGAGAGAACCTAAAAAAACGTGAGAATTAGGAAATTTCCGAGATAGCGAATGTGATAAAGCAGTGAAAAATGGTTGAGATGACATTAGTGAAAATGTACGTGGGGAGGATAATACAACTGAAACCTATCAAAAACTTGATGGAAAAGGAATATACCAATATACTAAAAAAACTGAGGCTGGTGAAATAATTGGAGAAAGTGTCCAGGTGGATTTACTGAACCATAATAAAGAGTTAGTTGACTTGTATCTGAAAATCTGACAAGAAATTAAGGAAATTAAGGAAATTAAGGAAATTAAGGAAAAAATCGAGGGTAGAATTTCTTATTTAAACAATAAACTAAGAAATAATAAAAATAAATTCCCTAAAAAAATAACAATTGAAAATTTAAACACAGAAAAAAACAAGAAAATTATTGAACTTTTAAAGGAAATGCTTTTCCAAGAAATTGATGACCGTTGGGAAAATTCAAAAGAGCGTATTGGCGAATTAACTAAAAAAGAGGTTCTGGGTGATAATTGAGAAAAGAAAATTAATGATATTAAGCATACTGAGTTTTGTGAAATTAAATCCAAAAGGACATTTTTTGATTCATCAAAAGCATGAAACCGATTTAGAAATGAAGGAAAAGAAATTGGAGAGAAAATTAACGAGAAAGGTAGAGAATATCATAATAAATTAGTCCAAAAAATTGTTGGGGGTCAAATTGATACTCTTCCTTCATTTTATTCTAGTAAAAAAGAATATAAAGAACAAGAAGAAGAACTAAAAAAATTATTGGATTTACAAAAAGTTATAAAAGATGCAAAAGAAGTCGAGGATAACCTTAAAAATCATTCTAATGAAGTCATTGGAGAACAAATTAAAAAACTAAAACAATTTGAAGAATACAAAGCGGAAAAAAGACCAAAACACCTAAAATATCACTTTGCTTTTGCCTGAAATACTTGAAACAAAGAATCCGGAAATGAAGCCCGAAACCTTTTAAAAAATTTAGATAACTGACTAATAAAAGCTCCGCAGGAACTTCAAAAAGCAATTGAAGAAAAAGTATCATTAGGAATGTTTGGTGGTCGGTTTAGTGATAGCAAAAAAATCAAAGAAAAAATTCAAACAATTTTACATGCTCTCCAAGATTTAATTCCCCAAGATAATAATTCAGATAGAAACACTTCCATAACCGGAAATGATTTATCTCCTGCTCAAATTAATGCTTATATCCTTAATAAAGGTGAAGCCGATAAGAAAGAACTAGAACTCTTAAAAATGGAGGCGAATTTTGTCGATGGAAAGGGAAATGAATGAGGATTTGGACTTTCTGAAAACGAGATAAAAGAAATTACAGAAAAGGTTGACAGTAAGCAAAAATTAATAGAAATTCAAGAAAAAATTCGTCTCGCTCATGCTTCCTGAGATACTTTTTTCCAAAATCACGAAATTAAAAAAACAGACCGAGATACTTGGAAAGCCAAATATCCGAATGCTGATGGACACCAACAAGCCGAGCAAGAACTACGGGAAACAGAACTAGCGGGGCGAAAAGCAGAGGTAGCGGTAATGAGTTATGAAGCGACTCACAATGCCCTAACAGTGGCTCAAAAAGACCTAAATGAACTTAAAACCGGAACCAAACCAACCAGTTATAAAAATAAGTGAAAGTTAGAAATATGAATTAAAGCATTAGAGGAAGGAGAAAAGTCAAAAGATAAAAAAGCGGAAGAACAAGAGGAAAGAAAAAGCGAAACAGAATCCAAATTAGCTGACTGAAACAAAATTAAACCTGAATTCACTCTGGAATTGATTAGGGAATGAGAGGATAATGGTTTTAACTATGATAAAACAAAAGAATGAATTGATACCGGTTTAAATGTTTCGGATGCTGAATTAGTTAATTGATTAGTTAGTGTTAAAAAGGATAATTATGCTGACTCAATATGAGTGATAAACCATGCCAACATTGAGGAATTAAGAGCAGAATTTAGGGAAACAAAACTTTCTGACCGGGAAATATTGGAAGAAATCAAAAACCAAATTAAAAGTAAAATTGATTTTATTAAATTAAACTTACCTATTTCTTTCTCAGAAAAATTAGTCGGCAAAAGATTTACCGAACTGAAAAAAATAAGTGAGAAGGGGCAAGGTTTAGTTCAAAAATTAAAGGATGCCGGAGAACTGCCTGATTTAAGCGAAGGCGAAAAAATTGCTAACCTAGTCAAAAATGGCACAGAAGAACCTGGCACAGCAGATACCGAATTTGTAGATAAAAAAACCGCCTTATTAAAATTTGCCAAAGAACACTATATCAAAAAAGTTGAAGATTTGGGAGGTTTCACCGACTCACAAATTAACGGTGCTTACTCCGAGGAAGAAGGATATAATTGGAGAGACAATATTGAGAAAGGAGAGAACATTCCTAATTTAGTAGTTTATGCCGAGGACTTGATTTCAAAAATCAAGGAAAAACTATTAAAAAAAACTACTGAGGAAAAAGATGAACTTTTTGATGAAGAAGATAATTTTGGTTCAGAGTTAGAATTAAACTTAGAAACAGGTTGAAGTAGGGGGATAGCAATCCGCCTTTCCGGTCCGGTTATTTTTAGTGAGGATAAAATTACTTTTAATTTCAAGGGTCAACCCTATACTAGCCTTTTTCCCGAAGCGTTGGTTGAAGGTATTAAAAATACTAAATCATTAGTAATTAATTTTGATAAAACAGAGGAGGAACAAGAAAATGAGTGGGAAAAACAGAAGGAAAGTCTCAAAAATTCTGCCGCCGGAGATATAGTAAAAATAAAAATTGATGAAAATGATGAGTTAGAAAATATTTCGGTCAAGGAAACAATATTTAACCTAGCCAGTTATTATGATTATACAGAAATCGTTCTCCAAGGGAAAGAAAACAAACCGGAAAAGGATAAGTGTGAATTAATAAATTATTCTTTAAAGTTTTTACCTAGCGGTGGTAGAGTTGAGGAAAATAAAATTACCTTTGAATTTGAAAGAAGTTCGATAATAGCCGAAGGGTTAACTTTTGATTTTAGTGGGGTTAACCAATTAGTAATTAATTTTGATGAAAAAGATGAAATTTATGGGTCAATGCCTAGAATAAAATACAAAAAAGGCAAACTCGAATTAAAAAATTTTGTTGCGGGAGATACAGTTGAAATTGAGGGAACCGAAGCATTCAGTTCAGAGATTTCACTTAATGATTCGGAATTTAAAATTGGCTGATTAGGTTTTAGTAAAATCAAAATTATCAAAAAAGTAATTGAAGAGGAACGAAGAGAAGAAGAGGAGTATTATGAGGAGGAGAGCGAAAAAGACCGAGAAGAGAAGATAAAAAAAGAAGCGGAAAGGAAAAGATTAGGGGAGGAGTTTAACAAAATTTTAAATCAAATTGTAAAAACAACTGAATGTGAGAAATTGGATAACCCGGACTTCCAAGATACGGAAATTGACCGAAAACTTAATGGGTCTGATAATGCCGATGAAATTCAAGGTTTAAAAATACTGCGAGATGCCCAAAGAAAGTTATTAAAATATGGATTTTTAGATACAGTTGAGAATTGTAGAAAGGTTAACCAAGTTTTCTGAGATAAATTTCCAGAATCCTTACGAGACTCAGTTCCCGGAGAAACTTCCGAAAATAAATTGTGATGGCTTTATGTTGCGGTAGGTTGTAATAAAGGTTATGGGTCGAACCAAATTAAAATTTTAACCCAAAATACAGTTAGCCGATTAGTAGAAGATTATAAAAAATTTTTTGAAGATGAAAAACATTTTTTTATTAAACCCAAACACCGAAAATATTGGGTAAATTCCGGAATTTCCCCCCATAGTGTTTCAGTAGGCACTCCAACCGAACTCCAAAAAGTATATAATGAAAAAAAATGATTAAACCTAGGTGAATTAGTTGAGAAGGGAGAAATAAAATTAGTCGGAGATGGGACTTTTAATTGAAAATGGAGAAGCGGTGAAGAATTAACCGGACTTCAATTTATTACTACTAATCGTTTAGAAGTAATTAATATTGCGAAAAAAATAGACAAAATTTTAGGGTCGGGTGAGGAAGATTTAAATAAATATAATGATACTTTTTTCAGCGGTTTAAGAGAAAGAGGAGATATCCCCCTTCAAGTTATTGAAAAATTAGCCCAAGTGGTTAAAAACCAGTCAGGGCAAGACTGAAATAATTTTTTCAAGGATATAAATAAACTAAAAGCCAGAGTTAAGTTAACCAAAGAGGGAGAACAAGCCTGAAAAGCCAGTGAATTAAGTGCCAAAAAAATACCGAGAAAAGGCACTGTCGGTGTATTAAAAAAAATTTTTTACGAAGATAGCGAGTGCGATAAAGCATTAAAAAATGGTTGAGTTGATATCAGCAATAGCCCAACCGAGACCTATCAAAAACTCGGAAAAGGAATATACCAATATACTAAAAAAACTGAGGCTGGCAAGCCGATTGGCGAAGCGGTAGAGGTAAAATTACTGGAACATAAAAAAGAACAAATCGACTTTGCTCTGAAAATCTGACATTTGATTAAAGATGCTAAAAACGAGAAAGCGGCGGAAGAAATTGATAATAAAATTAAATCCTTGGAAAAAAATAAAGGTCTGTCACTTCCCAAAGAGATAGAAATCGAAGCATTAAAAGATAAAAGAAACCAATGATTTACCAAACTTTTAAAGCAAGTGGCATTAGAGGATGTTAATCAACAATGAGAAAGCATGAAAAAAAAAATGGGTAGTTTAACCCAAATTGATGTTCTAGGGGTTGAATGAAAAAAGAAAATTAGTGATATTGAACATACCAAGTTTTTAGATTCAAAAAAAGCTTTTTCTGAGAAAATAGCAAAAGAAGCAATTACGAGAGTAAAAAAAGAATTATTAGGTTTAATTAAAAGGCAAAATGAAAGATTTTTCCAAGACATTGTTCAGAAAATTGTCAAAAGCGAAATTAAGAATATTACAGCAATTCCTCCGGTTTATGCTAGTAGCAATAATCTCCGAAATCTATTAGATTTACAAAAAGTTATAAAGGCAGCCCAAGAAGCCGAGAAAAAAATCAGAGAACTTCCCGACTCTAACCTTCAAATCCAAATTGAGGGATTAAAAAAATACCAAGAGCACTATATCAAAAAAGTTGAAGAAAAAAATCCCCGAGACCCTCAATATCCTTTCGCTCAGGCCTGAGACACCTGAAATAACCACAGCGACCAAGAAGCCAATAATCTTTTTGAAAATTTAAAGGTTCAGCAAAAAGCCCGCCAAGATTTACAAACTAAGATTGAGAAAGGGATAAAGGAAAGTAGAAGTTTATCATTCCGGGATATTATTCCAATTGGTAAAAAAGATACTAATTTAACCAATATCCAAACAATTTTACACGCTCTCCAAACTTTAATACCGAAAGATAATAATCCCACTCCCTCTCCAACTGATAATGCTCCTGAGTACGGAAATAAAAAATTATCTCCCGCCCAAATTGCGGCTTATGCTTTCAACCAAGAAAAAGCTGATGCTCGTGAACTAGTCTTATTAAAAATGGAGGCGGTTTTTGTCGACCACGAAAAAGAACTATGGGGGTTTACCCTTTCTGAAAAAGAGAAGGGTGAAATAGAAGCAACAGGGGTTGACAAAAAGAAATTAATAGAAATTCAGAAAAATTTCCGTCTTGCCCGTGCCTCTTGGAAGACTTTTTTCCAAAATCACAAAATTGAAAAACCAGAAGACAAAAAAAAATGACAAGATAAATATAAAGACAACCCGGTCGAGGGACCTAATAAAGCCGAAGAAGTTTATAAAAATGCTCTGGCGAAAGATGCTGAGGGTAATGACTGAGAAACCAACCCAACTGACCCTACTTTTGAAACTAAAAGAAAAAAAATTATAGAAAAGATTTATTTTGCTCCAAATGAAAAAGAAATTAAAAATATTCAAAAGGAAGTAGCCTGAGAGTTATTTTTCGCAGTGCGGAATATTGAGGATGGAACACAAAAAAAGAATTGGAAAATTGTAGCAGGTTCCACTGCCGCAATTAAAAATGCCGAAATAATTTGGAATAATGGTTGGAGAGAAATCAAAGGGACAGCAGAAAAACCGCTAAATGAAAATCGTATGAGTGCTTTCGGACATGGATTTAGTAATGAGGTTAAACCACTTACTCACCGCCGAGAAGATGTTGATAAAGTTTTAGAATTATATTCCAAATTAAATGTAAGAAATGGTTCTATTACTAATTTAACTGACTTGCGAAATAATATTAACTTGAATAATTTAGGTTATGCTGAGGAATATGTTCCTAATGAGGTTAATTATGATAAAATTAGAGAATGGTGAAAAACCAAAGAAATAAACTTATTTAGAGTCGCCTTTGAAAGAAAAGCAGGAACAATTACAAATTATTCAAATCGGAGTGAGGAAGCCAAAAATGATTACTGCCGAGCATGTTTGGCTTTACCTAATTTAGCCTTAGCCAAAAATGGAGTTTCCGAGCGAGAAATAGTTGATAATGGTTGAGCCTTAACTGATATCAGACTTAACTCTTCCCATGTTGCTTATGTCGTTTATTCTGTTGGTATCCTTAATCCCAATACGGGAGAAATAGTTAATAACCTAAATATCAATCCCTACCAAGTTAAAAAACAAACCTTAGATTTAGCAAGAGATTTATTAATGGATATTAACAATAAAACTAGTTCTACCGAACTTTCTCCTTATCCTCGATTTGGTGAGATTACGGGTTTATTACCGGCCGAAGGTGGGCTTGACGAAACAGATTTGCCGGTGGGTTGACGAAGGAATGATATTGAAAAATTCTTAGAAAACAAATGAAAAGAATTAGATAAAGCAGATTTTATTAAGAAAGTAAGAGAGAAATGAGTTCCAGCCTCCCTCACTGATGATGAAATAATTTATAAATATCGTTCCTTTGGAATGCCTTTAAATAGAAATGTTGAATGAATAGCGAAAAATTTAGAAAATGGTTGAGACAATACAGAGGAATATAGGAGTATAGAGGACGGGGATGGAAATCTTGTTTTTTATGCCCAAATTGGTGAGAATGCTGAAAATGGATTTGACCCTAATACTATATCGCGAACCCAAGCATTAAAGGAAATTTGATATAAAGAGTTTCTTGCGGCTAATGCTGAGAAAGTGGTTTCGTTAGTCAAAAATGGAGTATTGGCATACTACCAAAATGGCATTCCGGCCGACCGGGCTCGTTTAGTTTACGAAAACGGCTGACAGGCTAACCAATTTACTTGAAACGGAACCGAAGCCATTATTGCCTCCTATATTTCGCCTACCAGCGGAGAAATTGAACCTAGTTTTGACGGAGTGAAAGTTGAGCGTGGCGAGTTAGAGAAAGTAAATGCGATAATTAGAGAAATCGAAGGGGCAACTCTTTCGGGTATAAAAAATAGAGAAGAGAGAAAAAATATTGAGCGTATAACTAAATATAATGAAGCAAAGGTGCCGAATAGTAAAAATCACACTTGAATTAAAAATCTTTTCGCCGCTAAAAAAAATGAATTAGAGCAAAAACAAAAAGAAGCCAAAGTTAAACCAGATATCACCGAAATTGAAAATGAGTTAAACCAAAAACCGGTTATTTTGGCTCGCGATTTAACTAATTCTAATTATCGGAATCAATTAATTAACTTAGCCGACCGAGACAGCGAGCGAAAAACCTACAAACAAACCGTAATAGCAGAAATTACTCAAAAAAGAAATGATAAATTAGCCCAAGTCCGCCAAATAATTGCTAACGCTCAAATTATTTTCGCTAAAACCAAGCCAACTAAGGTTCAATTAGAAAAAGCGGTTAATGATTTAAAAACATTGACCCAAGCAGCAGTAAATAGTGCTGAAAACTTGGTTTGGAAAGAAAAAGAAAGTGAAAACCAAAAATTATTAACTGATTTAGAAGGAAAATTAAGCAAATTTGTTCCACCCCGGCCAACCCCTCTCCCACTGCCCCAACCAGAAAATCTCCCTCCTCCTCCCACTCCTAATGCTCCTTTAACTCCGAAGCAAAAAGAAGTTTATGGTGAGGATTGAGAAAATTTAAAAGAAAATCAACGAAAAAGTCGCCAAGAAGTAGTGCAAAAATGGGAAGAAGTTAAACAAGAAATCCAACGTGAAAGTTGTTGTTCCTCCTGTCAAAAAATCTTTAAGTGAGATAAGAATTTAAATTACTCCTCCGCCAAGAAAAAAGCCTTAGCGGAAATTCAAGCCTGTCAAAAAGTTTGTGCTCTGCCCCAAAAACCTAAACTGGTAGTAAAACAAGAAGATTGACAAAAAGAAAGAAAAACCAAAATTCGAAATATTTATTCTTGTCCGCACTGTTGAGGAAAAATTGTATGAGACAAAAGCATTGATAATGTTGAATTAGCCCGAACCCAAGCCATTGCGGATTGAAATTTCCACCAGAGCGAGGAATGTCAGAAACCCGAAAACGAAAGAATAGTCGGGATTTACTTTTCTCCTAATCGAGGTGGCAATCGGCACGCTCCACTTAGTTATGCCGAAACCGTTAATCCAAGCAGTCTGATATTAGAAAAAGACAATCAAGGAGAAATCTATCAAGAGCACTCAGTTTCCAATATTGAACCGATTAATTGAACTCCTTGAATTGTCGGTGGTATATTTTTAGTAGGAGGAGTAATCTTGTTGAGTTGACTCTTTAACCGCAAAAACAAAGCCAGCAAAAAAGTTAAAAAATAATAAAAAAAAGATGATTTAGGTTAAGCCCGAAAGAATTTTTTATTTAAAATAACTTATATCTAAAAAAGTAATGGATACCTTAATCACTATAACCAAAAAAAGCAAAAGAGTAGGTCGTGGCATTGGCTCTGGCAGAGGAAAAACTGCCGGTCGCGGTCAAAAAGGACAAGGGGCTCGAAAAAGTCCTCATACTCGTCCTGGATTTGAAGGAGGACAAGTCCCTATTTTTCTCCGCTTTCCCAAGCGTGGTTTCAAAGGCAGAAAAAAATTAGGTCAAGTAATCAATTTAGAGAAATTAGAGCAAGACAAAGAAATAGTTAGCGGACAAGTCATAGATTTCAGAAAATCAAAGTCTCCAACCAAAATATTAGGAAGGGGGGAATTAACTAAAATATTGACTATCAAAGCCGCCGCTTTTTCACAGCAAGCCCAACAAAAAATAACTAAATTGGGCGGGAAAATTGAAATAACAACTAAATAATTTATGACAGACAGTAGCAAAGGGAGAAGAATTAAACAACGACGCTATACTTTTCTTTTCGCCTGTGTGGCTAGTCTGCTCGGACTGGCTTTTTATATTTTTGGACGGCATAAAATTCCCTTTCCGCACCAATGATTACCCAACATTAACAGCGAGAAGTCTATTCAAAGCACTAAATTATTTTTTTTAGGAATTAGCGTTCATTTACAAATCAGTTTTTTTTTAGGAATGTTTTTCATGTTGCTAAACACCGAAAAAATGGATCAAATTAAACTCCAAAAATGAAGGTTTTGAATTAGTAAAGGTTTAATTTTTGTAGTTTCTTTGCTGATGGGATTAATACATTATTGAAAGGCCTTAAAAGTAGGTGGAGAGGAAGGTAAAGTTTTATGAGGGCAGGTTTTTTTTTTATGTTTAATTATTACCGTAATTAATTGTTGTCTGATAGAATTGTTAATTCAATTAATGAACCAATATGGAATTTGTAATGCTTTTAATTTAATACTTTTCACTGAATTTTTACCTTACCAATGGATTCAAAAAGGAAATTGAAAATTTAGTGAATTGGCTTTATTATTCCTTATCACCATTTTTTTCATTTGGATAGTCAACTTGAAATGAGAAGCACCGGTGGAAACCAACACCCTTTACAACCACGATAGTAAACTGCTGAAAAAAAATAAGTCTAAATTAGGCTTTCGGTTAAGTTTCGGTTTCATGCCTTTTATTTATTTATCTACTTTCATTTCTTACATTTACACCCTAGTTTTAATGAAAAGGAGCGGAACGGATTGATTTAGTATTAATAGTCTAAGTTATAATTACGACCAATCTAACAACGTTAAGACTGCTAGTAGTCTAAAAGGAAAAGGTTTTTGAGAATCATTTTTGCATCTTGGCGACAGTTCTACCAACGAAAACAAGCGAATATTTAATTTTAAAAATATAAAAGAATGATTTAAGACCAACGGATGAATAATTATCGGGGTTCTCCTCTTTATTATTTTCCTTCGCTGACTTATCACCTGATTACAAATGCGAAAGGTTCAATGAGAAACCACTAAAATTAGTAAGAAATTAAGGGGTAGCGGTATTTATATTAACCAAGTTCCTCCCGGCACCTCTACTCGTAGTTTGCTAAAAAAAGTAATCAATAAATTAGTGCTTTTTTGAAATTTTATAGTTTTAGTATTTAACATTATTTTCGACAATGTTTTCAAAGACACGGCTTTAACTTTCGCTAGCTGATTTGGAGGGGTTAATATTGGAGTTGATTTAGTGCGGCAAATCCAAACCAAATACAAGTATGTCAAGGCTAATACTTAGAAGTTTTTTTATTGATTTTAATTCATTGGAAGGGAAATGTTAAAAAAGACTATTTATATTCTTAACCACCGGTTTTAGAGAAAAAATAAGAACCAAAGTCCGAAAAATTTTCTTAAATATTCCGGTGTAATCAAAACATCCCGAGAAAAATTTATCCTGAACTAAAATATTTTAAGTAAGCAAAAATTTGGTTTCTTATTAAATAAATAATGTTTTTCTAATGCCGTTTTTTATATTAACTAAAAAAGAGTTAAAATTTATACATGAATACCGAAGAAATAATTAAAAATAATAATTTAGATGCTTTGTTTTTCTTTTCCCCCGAAAATCGTTTTTGGTTAACTGACTTTCAATCCAGTTTAGGTTTTTTATTCATTATTGGGAAAGAAAAATATCTTTTGGTGGATGGTCGTTATATTACTGACGCTCAAAAGAAACTCAACCATAAGCAGGTAGAAATTAGGCTATGGAAAAGTTGAGCGGACATAAAAAATTTCGGGTCGGAAAAAAATATCCGAAGGCTCGGATTTGAGAAAGAATATATAACGGTGGCTCAATTGGAAAACTGAAAAAAAGAAACTCCTCAAATTGAATGAGTAGGAATAGAGACCAATAAAATAAGAATGGTTAAAACCAAAAAGGAAATCACCCGAATGAGTCAAGCCGCTCAAATTACCGACCGAGTTTATCAAAGAGTTTTAAAATTGGTTAAAATAGGAATGAGTGAAAAAGATTTGGCGAAATTAATTCATAGTTCTTTTGAAGAAATGGGAGCGGAGGGACTTTCTTTTGATACTATTGTGGTTTCGGGCAAAAATGGTGCTTTGCCTCACGGTCAGCCGAGCGATAAAATTATTAAAGAGGGAGAATTAATTACCGTTGATTTTGGTTGTAAATATCAAGGATACTGTTCGGATTTTACCCGCACTTTTGCGGTTGGAAAAGAAATTAATCCTAAATTAAAAGAGATTTACCAAATAGTTAAAGAAGCCCAGTGAAAAGGCATTCAAGCGGTTAAAGTCGGAATAAAATGTAGTGAAATCGACCAAATTGTTCGGAATTATATTCAACAAAAAGGTTTCGGAGAATATTTCATTCATTCTACCGGTCATGGTTTAGGAATTGAAGTTCATGAAGCACCTTCCGTTTCTTCACGGGACAATACCATACTTCAACCTGGCATGGTTATCACTATTGAACCGGGTATTTATATTCCGGATTTAGGAGGAGTAAGAATTGAGGACGACGTTTTGGTTACCAAAACCGGTTATGAATTACTGACTAAATCAACCCGAGAATTAATTTTTGTTTAACGAAAAACTATAAATCCGATTTTCCAAACCAACCAAAAAGCCTCAGAAAAAAATCTGCGAATTGCCCCTCTTTTGGAAAAGTAGCAAAAATTTAAAAGATTTAACTCTAATAGAGCGGATTTTTTTAACTAGTAGTTAATTAAAACTATATAAAATGAAATTAGAGAAATAGGGCGAGATTAAAACAGAAATTTCTCCTTGAAAATTAATAAATAAATATTATGTTAGGATATCAGCAATATTATCAAGTTTTAGGATTAACCTATGGGGGAACTTATACTAAAAAAGATATTGAAAATGCCTATAAAAGGCAATCTTTAAGATACCATTCTGATAAGGTTGTACAATGTGGAAATATAAGACCGGGTTCGTTGGCTCATGGTTGTGCCAAGAGCTTTAATGATGAGTATTGGTTTTGTAGCGAAAAACATAAAAAAATGTTTAACGAGGCAGAAGAAAGAATGAAAGAAATTAACCAAGCCTACTGCGCTTTAACCGGCAAAGGTAATTCGCCAGATTCAGGAGGAGGAGGAAACGAAACTCTAAATTGTAGTTATTGCCAAAGAAATTATTTTTTCAATCAAAGGTTTAACCAATTTAAATGTCTCCAAGGAGCATTCGATAGAAAAAAAACAGAATATTTTTGATTTTGCTCTGAAAAGTGCCATGGTTGGTTTTTTGTTTGTCATTTTTGCGGTCGGAAAACAGAGAAAGGAGAAAATGTTAAAAGTGGGAGCGGTTGAATATTAAAAGATTATTTACGTGGCACCGGTTATGCTTTTTGCTCTCCGGCTTGTCAGCAAAAGGCTCAAAAAGGAGGGAATGGCGGCAATCAGCCTAAATGCTTCCAATGCAATAGAGAATTTTGGCAAAAAAATAAAGAGGGGGGAATAAATTCTTTTTATCCTCCCGAGGCGGAAAATAAGCGCTTTTGTTCTTCGAAATGTATAGAAATATGAAGAGGAAACTTAAATTCGGTTCGAAAAGAAGCCATTACCGCTATTAATCAAGCCTTAGAAGTTAAGCCGAAAGTCCATAATAGGGAATTGGAACCAAGCAATCAAAAATGAGCCATTACTATCCAAAACGAGACTGAAAAGAAAAATATTGAATCAATTAAATTAACCCTTCTAGAAGATGTTAGAAAAAAAAGAATAGCCAAATCAGGGGAAAAAAATATTCGCGCTCTTTTAGAGTTAGCCAAGTCTAAACATGATTTTGAGGAATTACTTTTAATTATCAAACAACTCGAAGAATTAAGAGAAACCGAAGGTTATCAAGCCTGTCAAGCCGAAATCCAAGCCCAAGAAGAAAGATTGAAGAAGATGGACCCTCAAAAATATAATGAGAGAATTAATAGTTCATTTGAAGAGCAAATTAAAAGTTCTGGTTTAACCGAAGGAGAACTAAGTGCAGAAACCATAGCCACCATGGCGGAAGCCAAAAGAACCAATGAACCGCAAAAAGTCAAACTTGCCAAAGATTTAATTGCGGTTGATGGTAGTCTCAAATCTCTAAACCAACTGCTTAGCCAAGTTAACCAGGCTCAAACCAAGCCGGAAAAACAGAAAATCCTAAGCAAATTGTTAATTTTTATTAAAGAAAACATTTTCAATGAAAAGGCCTACCAAAAGAAAAGGGATGAAGTGGATAGAGTGGTTAATAAATTGGCAGAAGAAGTTCGGACTGAACCACCTTCTTCGGAAGATTTTCCTTATCTTCCTATCTGCCTAGGCTTAATGTTTATTTTAGTAGTGGGGATTAGCATTCTTTTAATCTGAAAAAAGAAACGGAAAATTTATTAGTTTAATTTCGGCTATCTAGGAATTTAGATTTTGAATTATTACTCTATGCGAAATTAATATTAAATTTCCGCTTCGGGAAACAAAATTACAATAGATTATTAACTTTGTTAACACTATACCACCTTTAATAATGAAAAAGTGGAAAATAATTTTCCACAAAGTAATATCCTTGATTTTCATTTCAACCCTCGCTATTTTAAGAGATTTAAGTCTTTAAAAATCGACATTTAATGGTGTAATACTATCCAAAATTGTTGGTGCGTAGAAACAAAAACATTTAGAAAAATTATTTTCCTTTTCGGCGGCGTTTAATTACTCTAAATCTTACCGCTAAAACTAGAAGAAAAACCAGCAAAAAACCGAAAATTAAAAGTAGTGGTAAAGTCGGAAAAGAGTTAGGTTTCCCTCCCTTGGAGGATTGGCGACTATCATTAATTTTATTTTGAATTGCTTGTTCCATTTTTTCGAAAAACTGAACCATTTCATCCCTTTTGACTAAGTTGGAGAGAAAAATTTCTCAATTTTCAGCATTTTTTCATAAATTTTTATCTAAATCATTAATTTTTACCGAACTGTTTTGAAGTAAAGTTTTAATTTTTTGTCGCGTAATTTGTTGGGCTTTTTGAGTATTTTCAGCATTAATGATTTCTTTTTTAACCTCCGAGGAAAGGGGCGGCAAATTATTTTTATCGGGCTCGGGGGGGTAGTTAGGATTTTTTTGTGGATTTTTATCGGGAATTGGTTGGTCTTTATCTGGTTTTTCCGGTTTTTTAGTGGGTTCTGGCTTTGGTTTGGGGGGCGGTGAATCAGGAGGATTATTATTTGGTGAAGTCGGTTTTGGTTTTTGTTTTGCTAATTCTTTTCTCATTTCCATTAATATTTTCCCTAATCAATTTTCCCCATTGCCATTTGCAACTCCTCAATATTCATCTTTTTTCCTTCTGGAAGTGGTGTCTTCTATCAATTTATCCTCGCCCGTAGCAATTAATTTATTTGCTAATTCTAGGTTCTTAAATTTCTCTCGAACTACAAACCGCATAACATTTAAACAATATTCTCCTTGTCCCTTACCTCAATCAGTTCTAAATCCCCATACCCTTTCTTGTCCGATTTCCCTTGCTCTATCCGGTGTAAGAGCATTAATAATTCGGTTAATATGATTTAGGTTAGGATTATTTTCAATGGTGAATTTTAAGGCTTGAAAAAGGTGTTCGCTAGTAGCAAAAGTAAAGGTAGTTAAACCGCTTATGTTTATCAATTGTGAATCTGATGCTATTTTTCCTTCTTTGGTAATCCTAGTTGGCAAAGAGGTAGTGATTGGATAACCAATTTCAAAATTAGTGAGCCAAAAATTTCCATCGCTCGGTTTATTAAATCTTATTTCTCTTATTCCTAACATAAGTTTTTATTTTTTTTGATTGTTCGATAATTCTTTTATTTCCTTTTTTATCTCTAATTTAATTTTAGTCTCTCCCAGTCGGATTTTGTTTTCTTTAATAAAAAGTTATATAGATTTTTGATTTTTTGATAAAGAATTAAGTTAACTAAAAAAAGAACTAATTACTTCCGCCATTGAAAATTAAGGGAAAAATTTTCACTACTTTACACAAAGATTATTAGTCAAACAAAACAACAATTTAATAGCGATAGCAAAACACTTGGCGGATTATTTATAATAAAATTAAAATATATGGTTCGTATCAGCAACAAAGAAATTCCGAGTAATAAAAATGTTCCGATTGGTTTGACAAGTATTTATGGTATTGGTCGAACTACTGCCGAACAAATAGTTAAAAATTGCGGTATTAACTTTCATACCAAGGTAAAAGAATTAAATGAAAATCAAATAAAAGATATTAGTCAAGAGATTAAGAAATATACCGTAGAAGAAAATTTAAAAGAACAAGTGTCAAAAATCATTGATAACCAAATTAAACTAGGAACTTATCATGGTCTCCGACGGGAAAGAAAATTACCTATTCGCGGTCAAAGAACTAGGCATAATGCTCGAACTGCCAAGGGACACAAACGACTAACCGTAGCCAATAAAAAGAAAGCCCCTACTCCGAAGTAATCTCGAAAAGATTTGTAGTAGAAGTATTTTTGATTTATGATAATTCGATTTTCTAATATCACAATTATTATCGCTGATTGAGTTATCATTGCTTCGGTTTTGGTAATTCCTGCTTTATATTTTTCTTATCAAGGTTCTAAAAAAGGTATTGCTAAATTCTTAATGTTGTGGTCTTTTTTTAATTTTTTATGACTTGTGATTTACATGTTTTTTAGCGGAGACCCCTTTGCTATTTTTGCCATATTTCACCTTTTAGCCTTCGGTTTGTTGTCCTTAATTTTTTATTGCTGATGAAATTTGGGAAGTGGTGAAAAAAAAAAAAAAAAACAGTAAAATTACTAAAATATATTAATATAGAATGGCAGGAGTAAAAAAAGGCTACCAAAAAGAAACCAAGGTTAAAAAAATTAAAAAAATTTCCGAAGGTCGGGGGATTATCCATGCTGGATTTAGTTATAACAATACTATTATTGATTTAAGCAAAGAGAATGGCGATATCCTAATGTGAAAAAGTGGCGGGAGTGTCGAACTGAGCAACAAAAAAAAGGTTAGCGGAACTAAGAAAGCAACTGTTCCAGTTGCCGAAAAAGTAGCAGAAGCGATAATTAAAGGAGCGAATGATTGAGGGGTTTCCAGTGTTAAATTACAAGTCCGAGGAATTGGCTCCGCTCGCAACCCCGTAATTGAAAAAATATTAGAAGCAAAATCTTTAAAAGTAGAAGAGATAATTGACGCCACTCCAATTCCACATGGCGGTTGTCGTCCTCGTAAAGCACCACGAAAATAAATATATATGTCATCATTACTTAGTTCCTTAAAAATTGAAGAAATAATTAACAAAAATAACCCTTACAGTTCTGCCTTTGTTTTTCACCATTTATTACCAAGCATGGGAGTAACTCTCGGTAATTCCTTGCGGCGTTTTCTTTTAGATTACACTACTGGAATAGCAATTTGGGGAGTTGAAATCTCAGACAAAAATGGTTCTATCCGAACTAAACTAGAAAGTTTGGAAGGGGTAGACAAAGTAACTCCTTATTTGATTATGAAATTGAAAGAGATTATTTTTGAAGAAAAAGAGTCCAAAAAAGAAAATTTTATTCTGGAAATGGATATCGAAAATAAAGAAAAAAAAGACCGAATAATTAGGGCAGGAGATTTTCAAAAAATTAATGGGCTGGAAATTAAAAATCCGGAACTTGAATTGGCAACCCTTAGTGCTCCAAAAGGGAATGAAAAACCAAACAAGTTAAAAATAAAACTCTATTGTCAAAAAAATTGAGGTTATCGCCAAGCAGACCAACAAAGAGAAGAAATTAAAGTTGAGGAAGAAAACATTATCATTTTAGACACTAATTACTCACCGATTAAGGGCGGACAAGTAAATTTTCAAGTGGACCCAGTAATTACTGATTTAGACCAAAAAAAAGAAGAAAAGTTAATCCTTACTTTTAATACTAATGGTTGTGTTAAACCAAAAAAAGTGCTTCAAGAAGCCCTTGAAGTGGCCTTAAACTCTTTTAGTCACATTTCAAAACTAATTGATGAAAAGAAAAGAACCAAAGCTTCGGTTGAAACTTTAACTAAAAAAGAAAAAGAAGCGAATAATCAAGAAGAATAATTACTCCTATGTCCTACATTAATAAACCTGGTAAAACTACCGCTTGACGAAAGAAAGTTTTAAATAACTTAGTAGCCGATACTATTTTATACGAAAAAATAGAAACTAGTTTACCAATGGCGAAAAGTTTAACTAAATTGCTCGCAAAGTTGGTGGGATATGCCAAGCAAGATACTTTACATTCTCGCCGAATGGCTTTGCGTTATTTAGTGAATAAAAAACATTCCGGAGTAGTAAGTAAATTATTTACGGAGTTAAAAAACCGATATCAAAGTAGAGAAGGTGGTTATAGTCGAATTACTAAGTTAGAATTAAGAAGAGGAGATGCTACCTTAATGGTTGTCTTTTCTTTGGTTTAGAAAGAACTAAGCACGGATAATGAATAAGAGCCTAGTTAGCTCAGTGGTTAGAGCTCTCGGCTGTTAACCGAGAGGCCAGAGGTTCGAATCCTCTACTAGGCGCCATTTTTTAATATTATTACAATATTAGACTTTTTTTATAGTTTAATTTAAGTCTAAATTCTTTGCGGATTAAAGAAATTATTGGTAAATAAAATTTCCCCTGAAATTAAAAAAACCCCCAAAAAGAAATTAAAAGTTAGGGCGAAAATTATTAAAAATTTGCGAATGGGACATTCGGTGGAGAAATAAATCTAATTTATATAAATTATAATTATGACTAAAAAACCAACCCGAGATACTAAAAGAAAAAAGAAAAAAACTCTCTTACGCAGAGGAGAACAAAAAACTAAAAAAAAATAATCTATGCCAATCAAGGATAAAAAAAAGATTATTCAATCTAAGCCTACTCATAAATCTAATTTGCTGAAAAACAAGCCAAGCAAGAAAAAGAAAATAGTTAAATTCAAAGTTAGTAAGAAAAAAACTACTTCTAAAAAAGTTGGGGAGTAAGCGAGTTGTTTCTCCAAAAAAACAACCAAATATTATATGCCCGAGTTTGAAATTCAGTGTCAATACACCCAAAAAAAGCAAATGAAATTTTTTCGGGATAAAGGACTAAGATTATATCACCAATTTTCAGTAATTAACCCGGAAATTATCCCCAATGAGTATTTTCATTTCGCCGAAAAGAAATCTTGCTTGATTTGGATACTTAATGAGTTGACAGAAGCAGCCGGAATAAATTTTGTGGAAAAGCCGTTAGAAAAGGAAGAATATAAATTCATTATTAACTTAGGAGGAGAAAAAGTAGCCAAATTTAATACTAATAGTTCCAATAAAATGGTTTTAAAAACCAAAGAATATTGGGAAAATACCATTAAAAAAATTGGTTTTGCGGGCAGCGAAAATTATTTTTACGAAATTAAAAAAATGCCCGAAAAATCAACTAGACATCCAAGCCAAACCAAAAACAAAAGCAATTGAGGAAAAATTGCCCTTATCTGTTTACCAATGGTAATTCTTGCCTGCTTTTCTTTTTTACTGGTTAAATGAGTAAGTAAAAAAACCTTAAAATAAATATAAGATAAATGATAACAAAAAAAAATTTTCAACTGCACGAAAAAGATACTGGTTCAACTGCGGTGCAAATAATAGCATTAAACGCAGAAATCCAAAAAATAGTCGAACATGGAGAACGTAATCGCAAGGTTAACACTGCTGAAAAAAGAAAAAAAGAAAGGTGAAAAGACGTTCCGGCTCGCCGAGCCCTGTTAAAAAAATTAGCCAAAAAAAAGAGACTTTTTGAATATTTAAAAAGTCATAGCCCGGACATTTATGAAAAGTTAAAGGAAGAGATAAAATAAATATAAAATAATAATAGTCTATGGTGAAATTAGATTAGAAATGGTAATCAAGTAAAACCAAAGGACTTAAAAATAAAAATATTATTAATAATAAGGTTATGAACAAAAAAATAGAGTTCCGAAAAATAAAAGTAAATAACGGACAAGAATTAATTACCAAAGCCCAGGAATATAAAAATTCCGGTGGGGAATGGAAGTTGTTGGAAAGTTTTTTCCAACTGCCCGCCAAAACCAATTATGATAGCGAATATTCCAAATGGGGAATTATAATTATCAATAATCAACAAGAAGTAGAAATTTATTCCGAGAATATTAACAAAATAAAAGGCGGAAAAATTATTCGAGAAGGTGATTCACTAGTTAATGTTTTAGACCGAGCAGAAGCATTAGACGAATTAAACCAAATATTTCCCGAAATTAAGAAGCAAATTACTCTTAAACCTAACACGGAAAGGTTAGACGTCAACACTTATAAAAAAGTAAAGAGAAATGACGGAAATCATGACTTATATCGTTATTTAGTTGCTGAAAACTCCTGACATTTGAAAAAAATCTTTCACCAATGAATTCGGGAAAATGAAACCAAAATCTATCAATCTGCCAATCCTCATTTTTCCGGTTGGGTCGAAATAGTGGACGGACAAGATGGCAACATGTACCTTTACGTTGGTGAAAAAAATGATAATAATGGACGGGAAATTAAAATTGTTATCAAAAAAGAGGAATTTGAAAAGGGTAATTTTGGCGATTACAGTGCTAGTAAAATGCTGGAAATGGATTGAAATCTTTTCACTATTACTCGACCACGGACTCCCTCTGAAAACCACGAATATTATTCCAGCAATGGTGGCTTAGAAGCAGAATGACAAACTAGTTGACCGCACCGCGGAAAACTTTGTCGAAAATACTTGGAAGGTTTGTTAAGCCGAATGACCGAAAGGTTTAATTATTGAAAAGAACAAGCGAAAAAAGTAGACTATGAAGTTAATAGCACTAACGAAGAAGTGCTTTCGGCTAATTTACGGGTAGAATCAATCAAATATGAACTAGTCGACATGAAAAAAAATCGTCCGGCTTATTATGCCGCTTGCGATAGTGAATGTGCTATTTGCGGGGTTAAACTTTGTTGTCACTATGAAGGACAGGCTTGTGAAAAAGGTCAAAGTAAACTGGTTCTACCGGAAAATTCTTCTCATTTTGGTTTCAAAGAAAATGACAATCACCATCAATTAAATAAAGTAAGTAAAGTTGAACAAAAGAAAATCGAAAAGTATTTTCGGGAAAATGATATTTATTCCATTACCCTAGTTGGAGATAAATTATTAATTATTTACAATGATAACCGGAAAGAAACAATTTTAATTGATAACCAACAATTACAACTAATCAAAACTTTGGCACAAGAGCAAGATAACAAAACCCTTAATTGAGCCCAAATAATAACTTCTAATTCACAATCTGATAATAGACCTGATTCCAATCACATTTTAAAAATTATTGGAGGAGTGGGAGCAATTATTATAATTGGAACAATCGCCTACTTATTTTTCAAAAAAAGAAAAAAATAGGTAATTACTTTGCTTATTAACCTTAAAATACTTGCCAAAAATAGGTTATACATAGTCGGCGTTTCCGGCGGTCCGGATAGTTTTTTTTTATTAGATAATTTACGGAAAGAGGAATACAGAGTTATTGTCGCTCATGTTAATTACCGAAAAAGGAGTGATAGCAATTGAGACGAAAAATTAGTGAGAAATTATTGTCAAAAATATTCTTTGCCATTTGAATTTTGTCAAGTAAAAGAAACTAATTATCCTCCAAAAGGTAATTTTCAAGCTAAGGCTCGCCAAATCCGCTATGATTTTTTCTATCAATTAGCCCAGCAATACAAAACTAAATATATTATTGTCGCTCACCACTTTGACGACCATTTAGAAACTTATTTGCTTCAAAAACAAAGAAAATCCTTGGTTGACTATTGAGGTTTGCCGACCAGAGCAAAACAAGAAAAATATTGAATACTCCGTCCGCTTCTGTCTTTTACCAAGTCCCAAATCACTAAATATTTATTCCAAAAAAAAATAATCTATGCCACTGATAGCACCAACCAACTCCCGATTTATCAAAGGAATATTGTTCGACAAAAACTTGCTGAACTGGGAGAGCAAGAAAAATCAGACCTTGCCAAAAAAATCTTCCACCAAAACAAAGAATTAAAAAGAATTAAAGCATTAGTCAGAGAACAAAAAAAAAAGTTAATCACTTCTCCGCCTATTTTCCAACTCAAAAAAGCAAATGAAAACTGCTCGGAAATATATTTACGCCTCCTTTATTTTTGAATTAACCAATTTACTAATGGACTTCTCCGGCAAAAGAAGAAAAAACTCCTCGCTGAGATTTATAAGCAATTATTTATTAGTCAAAAAACCGATTTAATCATAGAATTAGGAAAAGGGTTTCGAATAATAAAGTCTAACCACCACGCCACTATTTTTCATAAAAATAATTAATATTAAAGTTTTTAATGAAAGAACCAGAAAAATCCAAAAAAAAAGTCAGTTCGCCGCCCGGAAAAGGAATGAAAGTGAGGATAACTATTATCTTAGTTTTGTTGGTTTCCCTAGCAGTATTCTTGGCTTGAAAATTTTCCCCTTCCGACACCGGAAGTTTTACTTGAAGAAAGAAAGAAGGCGATAATAACAAGATAGTAATCTATGATTTAAAAGAGGAAGAAATCGACCAAATGGACTGGCAGCGAGGAGCCGAGTTTACTAACTATTATAGTGGTAACCGGTTTCAATATCGTTTGTATGGTAAAGGGAAGAGTTTTTTCAAAAGGTTGTTAGGAAAACCAACCATTTACTATGTAGTTAGTCCACTGGAGGACCACGAAATAAGGAACAAAGAAATTGAATTTGAGGGAATTACCAAAAAAACGGGTATAAAAATTCCTAAAACTAAATTTGTAAATTCTCATGACCTTTTTTCCAAAGAAGGGTGAACTTTTATTGATGTTCTTATTTATGCTTTCTATATAACTTCTATTATTATATCCCTTTACATTTTCGACAATATTTTCGGAACTAATATTTGTGGTATTTTTACTTATCCTTTCCGGGCTTGAAAAACCGAAAGCACGAAAATTATCATTCCACAAACTAAATTCAAAGATGTGGGAGGTTTACATGAAGCCAAGGAGGAGTTGGGCGAAATACTTTCCTATTTTCGTAATCCACAATTATTTTGACAGCGAGGAGCCGCGGTTCCCAAAGGGGTTTTGTTGGTAGGACCACCGGGTAATGGTAAGACTTTACTTGCCAAAGCATTAGCCGGAGAGTGCGGTTTGCCTTTTTTGGCTCGCTCTGGTTCGGATTTTGAAGAAATGATGGTTGGGGTGGGAGCCCGTCGGGTTCGTGACCTTTTTCAACATGCCCGTAGTTTTAACCAAGGTTGTATTATTTTCATTGATGAAATTGATTCAATTGGTCGCAAAAGATATTCTTCCAACACCGGTCACGCTGAACAAACTTTAAATCAACTGTTGAGTGAATTGGATGGGTTTCAAGCCCGGGATAATGTTATCATCCTAGCAGCCACTAACTCCTTGAAAGTTTTGGATAATGCACTGCTACGACCTGGTCGGTTTGACCGCCAAATCTACATACCCTTGCCTAATGTAAAAGGAAGGCGAGAGATTATTTATCTTCATACTCAAAAACTCACTCTCCATCCTGGGATTAATTTAGAGGAAATTGTTTCCATGACCCGCGGGCTAAGTGGAGCCCAGATAGTTAATATGTTTAATGAGGCCTCTATTTTAAGTATTCGCCATGGAAAAAAAAGTATTGACCAAGAAATGCTTTTTGAGGCCTACGACCGAATATTGATGGGTCCTTCTTTGACTAGTCAAACCATCACAGCAGAAAAGAAAAAAATAGTAGCTTTTCACGAAGCCGGACATGCTATTGTTGGTTTAAGTTTGCCCGAAACAGTAGTTAAAAAAATTACTATTATTCCTCGTTTGTCGGCTGGCGGTTATACTTGAATAGATTTATATGGGGAGGAAGGCGATGATTATTTGCTGAATAAAAACCAAATGCTTGCTCATGTCATGACTTCTCTAGGTGGTCGAGCCAGCGAAGAGTTAATTTTTGGTCTAGATTACATTACAGTGGGAGCCTATGATGATTTCAAAAAAGCCAGCAGCATTATCCGGGAACTAATTTTATATTACGGAATGTCTGATTTAGGAATTGTTCCGACCCAAGAGTCTTATTTTTTTGGTGAAGAACTTCTTTCGGAGTTGCCGGAGACATCCAAACAAAAAATTGAAAACGAAAGGGAAAAAATACTTAATCAATGCTGAAAAAAAGTTAAAGAGATACTTCGCCAAAAGATAAAAATACTAAAACTTTTCGCCGAAATACTGCTCCAAAAAAATTCACTCCAAAAGGAAGAAATTAATTACATTTTTGTTAATCAGGTTTCCCCTTTCACACCTTTATTAGGAAACATTAAGTGCAATGAAAAAGAATAAAAATTTAGAAAAAAAAGGCAAAATCGAAGACCGAGGAAGTTATAATATTTGGGGGCAATATAACAGTTTTATTCGAAAACTTTATCTAGAAAAACCCCTAGCCCGACCTACCGGGAAGCAATTAACTTGAAAGTATTTAAGCAAACTAGCGATTGTTTTTTTTGGAGCCTTTTTCACCACCCTCACTTTTTACTTTTTGATTGACCCTAACGGTATCTATAACAGCGGACTAAACGGGTTAATTCAGGCTTTTTCCAAATTAATAGTCGGTCATACCAATATTGGTTGAGGCAGTTATTACTTTCTTTACTACGGATTAGGATTTCTGACTAACTTACTTTTTATTCTTTTTTTGCGGTTTTTTTTCCAAGCCAAATTAGAAATAATTAGCACTTCGATTTTTTATGTGCTTTCCCAAGTTATTTGAACTCAAATATTCAAATTCACTCATTTAAAAGAATATATTTTTAGTCATTTTAATCCGAATAGTTGAAAAGGTTTGAGTACCAGCAGTCAATTATCCTTTACTTTGCCCTATTATATAGTCATTGCTATTGTCGCCGCAATTATTCACACTTATGGTTATAGTTTAATTTTTCGAGCCCAAGCCACTCCGGGCGGTTTAGAAATTTTTACCTCTCACTTTTCTTCCTCCCAAAAAAAAGAAAGCAAGTTTTCAATTAGTTCTTTCATGAAAATATTTGGAATTGCCATCATTTTCATGGTTACTTTGGTTAATTTTGCTTGAATAGAAAATAGTCCTAAAATGAAAATAAGTGTTCTCCAAAAAGAAATAACCGAAAATTTGGAAAAGGATAAAGAATTGGAAAAAGAAAGAGTAGCCGAAATCAAAAAAAAGGGAATAAATGATATTATTGGGGATTGAAAAAAAGATATTATAAAATCTAAAAAGTTAAATAAAGAAAAAAAAATCGAAATTAGAGAAAAAAATGCTTTTCTTACTTCAATTTTTAAAAATAAAACCGGGAATTTGGAACTTGAAAACTATCCCCAAGAAATAGATTATTATTTAGTAAGCGATAAGGAAAAAATAGAAAAGTTTACAAGCGAGATAACTAAAATTAATCAAGAGAGAAAAAATTTGCCTGAAACTGAATTAAAGAAAAGTTTGTATCGGAGAAATGATTTAGAAAAGAGAAAAAGGCAATTAGAAGAAGAACAAAAAAGAAGCATTGCAGGAAAATATTTATCATATATAACTAATAATGAGAGACTATGGGCAACTGTGGTATACATATTTCTTTCTTCGTTTCTCATTAGCCAAATTTTCCCTCGGGACCAACTTGTTTCGCTTTATCTCCACTCTCTAACCGAAGAAAATCAAAAGAAAGGTTTGCAATTATTAGCCAAATTTTCCCCCATTTATTACACTATTCATCGAAGAGAACAAGGAAAGGAAGAAGTTGTTTACATAACCAGTTGCCATTTAAGCAAATGAAATTACTACCTACTTACCCCTTACTTAAAACAAATCGGAACTACCTATATCAATGAAGCCAACCAATAAAACTAAACTAGCAAATGTTAAAAAAATTATCGAAAGTATTCGAGACAGCGAGAATTTTCAAAAAGCCTTGACTCACGTTTCTTACTGTAATGAAAGCGATTCGGCCATTTCTTACGAGAGACTAGAATTCTTAGGCGACGAAATTTTGAATTTCCATGTCGCTCTTTTTATTTATCATAATTTTCCTAATTATGCCGAAGGAAAAATGAGTAAATTGCAACAGTTAATGGTCCAGGAGAGCACCCTAGCTGAATTAAGCAGAGAAATCGGGTTGAATAGAACTAATGAAGAAGGGAAATTAGAATATTTAAGATTAGGAGAGGGAGAAATGAAAAACCAAGGGGCTAATAAAACTAGCATTTTGGCAGATATATTTGAATCTTTCATTGCCGCTCTCTACTTAGAAAAAGGTAGTCAGTCAGTTCGCCGTTTTCTCAAACTTACTATTTTTTCATGAATCAAGGGTAAAGAAGAAACGGTTTGAGACTACAAAAGTTTACTTCAAGAATACTGTCAGTCCCAAAAAAACAAGGTTTTTTATCGATTAAAAAAGACAGCGAAAGTAGAGAACCAAAAAATGTTTACCATGGAAGTCAAAGATAGACTAGGAACCTTTTTAGAAACCGGACAAGGTCATAGCAAAAAAGAAGCCGAACAAGAAGCGGCCGCCCGAGTAATTAAAAATTTAGGGTTGGTAAAGAAAGAGAAGGATAATTCTTAAAGCATAGTCGATTTTTCGGTATCTCCTTTCCCTTTTCTGATAAAATTTTTTTCCAAATGTAATTTATATATTACAGTTTGCTTGAAATGATTGATAATATTGTAAATTTATAAGCATTACCATTTTGTAATATTAACCTAAAAAATCACTTTATTTTTTTAATTCTCTTAACCTCAGTAAATAAAATTTATTAAATTATATTAATCTTATGCTATGCAGCAGTTGTTACAAAGAAATACCAGAAGGTAAAGAAGTCAAAAGAGGAAGTAGTGGTATCTATTGACAAGTCGGTTCCTTAGGGGGTGGAGGAGGAAGGGGAGGAATATTTTGCCTTAAATGTGCGAAAAAAGAGGATAAAAAAGAAAAAAGGCTTTGAAAAGTATTCTTCGCTTTAATTTTTTGTCTTATTCTTTTTATGATTTTGCTATTAACTTTGTCAATAGTAAAGAAATGAAACTAAGTAAACTCCTTTCCTTATTTGACCACAATTTCCCTCAATGAAAACAAAAGACAAAATAAAATAATTTTATGAATATAAAAAAACTAGAAGAGTCAGAAATTATTCTGCTAATCAAAAAATCTTTCCAGGAAGTTGAAAACTCTCTGCCGATAGAGGCAATAAAAAAAAAATATTTAGCAAAGGGAGGCATAATTTCCCAAATTTTCCAACAAGTAGTTCAAGAAGCAGACCAGGCCAAGAAAAAAAAATTCGGTAGTTTAATTAACCAATGAAAAAATGAATTGAAGGCCAAAATCCAAAAGGGAGAGAAAAAAACTGCCAATTTTTCTCCTCCGAACAAAGAAAGGGAAGAAGTGGATATTTTTTTGCCGGGAAAAAAACTTGCTTTTGCTAATCTCCATCCCTTGACCCAAATTATTCAAAAAATTTATGATATTTTTCTTCCCCTCGGCTATCAAATTGTTGAAAGTCCGGAAATTGAAAGCGAAGAATATAATTTTAACAAATTAAATATGCCTCCTGAGCATCCGGCTCGGGCCATTCAGGATACTTTTTATCTCAACTATAATTTAATTTTACGCACTCATACTACTAATGCCCAAAGTCGAATTCTCTCGGAAAATCCCAACCAGGAATTAAAAGTCGTTAGTGCGGGCAAAGTTTATCGGCGAGATGAAGATGATGCCACTCATACCCACCAATTTACCCAAGTTGATTGTTTTGTAGTCGGCAGAGATATTTCTTTCGCTCACTTGAAAGGAACTTTGGAATTGCTGGCTAGGGAGTTATTTGGCGAACAACAAATTATTCGTTTCCGCCCTTCTTATTTTCCTTTTACCGAACCAAGTGTAGAGATAGACGCCGCTTGCGTTCAATGTCAACAAAAAGGCTGTAATATCTGTAAAAAAAGCGGTTGAGTGGAAATTGCGGGAGCGGGTTTAATTCACCCCCAGGTATTAAAAAATTGTGGTTTTGATAACCAAAAATTTACTGGATTTGCGTTTGCTTTCGGACTTGAACGTTTACTAATGATTAAGTATGGAATAGAAGATATTCGACATTTTTATTTAAACGATATTCGTTTTTTAAGGCAGTTTAGAGAATTGTAGGCGTTTTTCTTTTTTTTTTTTTTTTTGCTTAATTTTTCAAACTAGTGCAGTAATTATGATAACAATTAGAAGAGCGATTATTCCTCCGATTATTCATTTTGAGAGAGAGTTATCATTTTTATGGTTTAGTTGGGTCGGGTTATTATTTTGGTCTAATATACTTTTAAGAGATTGAAGCACTTTTTCAACCCTTTTTCCTCCTCCGCCATTTAAAATTTTATAAATGGCACTATTGCTATTATTTTTTTCGGCAGATAGTTCATCATAAATTCTTTGGTCAAATTTGCCTTGCCTAACCAAACCTTCGGCAACAATTAATTTTCTCCATAATTGTTCCGCTTTCGCTTTTTGGTTTCTATCAGTTAAATTATCGATAACTTTCTTAATAGGGTCATTATCACTTTCTTTTCTAGTTCTAATATTTTTAATTTTAGTGATTAGATTATTTTTAAAATTATTAATTTCATTCTCTTTATCTAAACCATTTAATTTACTTTCCCAATCAGCATTTTGCCCTAATTCACTATTTTCGGTTTTGGGTGCTGTATTTAATTCAGTCCGAATCTCACTTTTGGCTTGGTCTCGCACTTGGGAAATATTTTGATTTGGGGGAGGAGTTCGGTCGGGAATATCGGGACCGTTCGGTGGGGTGTCGGGCTTCGGAGTAGTCGGTTTAGAGAATTTTCCTTTAAGGGTAATATTAGAAAATCCATTAAGTAAACTAGAACTTAAATCTAATTCTAATGTTTCTCATTGTTTAATAAGTGGATAATTTTCTATATTTTCAAGAGTAAATTTTTTCTCTCCTTTATCAAAATTAAGTTTTGCTAGTTCATGCAATTCAGCCAATTTGGTGGGATTATTATGGAAAATAATTTTTTTGACCGGAAAGCCTTTTTGTGAAAATGCCTCCTGAACTTCTTGGTCTACTTCAAGGACAAGCGTTTCCTCCCCTTGATTAAAATAAATAGTTATGACAGTGAAATTAAAAACTTTATCTCTAATATTGTAAAGAAGTGGATTAGTGGAAGGAGAAATAGAAAAATTAGTAAATTTAGCAAGAGTACTTTCTCCGCTTGGGGCAGTCATGGCAACATCCGTGAAAGGAATTTTTCCTGCAAAATTCGGGTCAATCTCAATTCCTTTTTTTTGTCCTAATGTACTGCTCTCATTAGCCTTACAATAAATATTTAAAAGATTTTCCACTTCTTCTATTTTATCTCTTTCACTACTTTCGTTAAAAAATAATGCTGCGGCCTTAGCGTGGGCTAAATGCGGGATAGAAATTCATCAATCTTCTGCCAAAAAAACTACAAAGACAACCTCGCCCTCTCTGGAAATTTTTGCGAAAGTTTTAGGTTTGATAGTGTAAGTCATATTATATTTTTATATATTATGTCCGAAGATTTTTTATGATAAGTTTAGAGTTAAATTAAAAAAAATGAGAGTTTTTTTTGGCTTTTCTGTTTTTAATAAGTGATTTAGTCCAAATTATCATGAAACAGATAAATAGATAGGCCAAGAGAGCGATTAGAAAATTGATAGTAAAAATTTTTCATTCTCTTTCGGCTATTCATTCAAAAATAGAATAAGGATATTTTTCCATATAAGGAAATAAACTGCTAGTTTCGCCGGTATTAATTTTGGCTAGAATTCAGACATAAAAAAAGTAAAGGAGAGGATAAATAAAAGAGAGTAATAAAGATTTAATTAACTTTTTTTTTAATATTTCTATTTGCGAAAAGGCATAAAAATAATAAATGGTTAAAAAAGGAGCCGCAAAGTGTCAACTAAACAGTTGCAAATCCATTCACAGACCATAACTTTTTAAAGCCCCCATAAGAAAATAAGCCATTAGAAAGCAAAAAGTTACTAAATTGTAGATGGTTGCTAGAAAAATAATCAGTTGAGAAAAGTGTGAGGAATTTTCTTTTTTTTCTTTTAACAAGAGAGAACCATACCTTTTTTTTCTCAACAGGTGAGAGTTATGTTTGCTTTCTCGTCATATTAAAATTGCTGCTAAGACAGTTAAAAGCGAAGCGTGAACCGACCACCAAGCAAAAAACCGAAGAAGATGGAAAGGTAAATGAAAACTAGTTTCCTTTTTAATGCGTAAAAGTGATGAAACAATTCCGATTAAGTGTAGTGAAGCCGCTAGAAAAATTAATTTAAATCCGGGTCGACTTGAAGAAATTTTTTTTTCTTTCATTTAATTAAGTTTTAATCAGGTTTGGGATATCCTATAAAAAATATTTTTGGGGGTTAGGGTTGGTTGACATTTCTATTTTCCCTTTTAGGTTATTTTCATATCACTTTTTTAAAAAATCATAAAGGTTATTTTCCTAAACAAAATTTACTAAAAATAATATCCAATAAATCCTCCTTATATTCCTTACCGCTCAATTCCTTAACCAACTTATAACTTATTTCTAAATCACCGCAAACCACATCTAAACCAGTTTCTTTTTTTAGTTCTCTATTTATATTTTCTAACTGTTGGATAAGGTTAACCAATTTAGCCTGTTGTCAACTTTGGCTTAAATAGGGATAGGGGGAAATTTTGCGGATTAAATCACCGGCAAAAATTTGCTTAATTTTGGCTTCCAATTCACTTAATTGCTGCTTTTTGGCACTAATTCGGCAAGTTTTTTCTGGTAAAATAAAAGAGGGGAGTTTTAATTTATTTATTTTATCGATTTTGTTAACAATAAAAAGATAATTTTTTGACTTGATTTTTTGATAAATATCATTATCTTTTTTGTCTCAGGAATTAGAATTATCCACGCAAAAAAAAATAATTTCGGCTTGGGTTAAGGCTTCTTGACTCTTTTTTACCCCAATTTTTTCCACTAAATCAGAGGTCTGGTGAATACCGGCAGTATCCAGTAAAATTAAAGGAATGCCATTCAAATTGTAGCGGGCTTCCACCACGTCCCGGGTGGTTCCGGCAATAGGCGAAACTATTGCTTTTTCTTCTTGTAAGAGAGCATTCAAAAGAGTAGATTTTCCCACATTCGGTTTACCGACAATGGCTATTTTTAATCCTTCTTGATAGAGACGGACTTTTTTGCTGTCTTTTTTTATCATTTTTAATATTTTGAGTAGTTTATTCAAACGTGAAAAAGTTGCTTTGCCAGTTAAGTATTCCACCCCATCATATTCCGGATAATCAATATTTACTTTAATGTTAGCAATGATATCCAATAGTTCATTTTCAATGATTTCTAAACCTTTTTGGGTTTCTGAACTTAAATTGTGTTGGGCTAATTTGGCTGCTTCCAAACTGGGGGCTCGAATTAAATCATTTATGGCGTTGGCTTGGATAAGATTTAGTTTATTATTAAAAAAGGCTTGTTTGGTGAATTCCCCTTCTTGGGCTAATTCAGCACCCTTTTCTAAAATTAGTTGTATTATTTGGTTGACAATAAATAAATTGCCATGACAACTAATTTCTACCACGTCCTCGCCGGTAAAAGAGTGGGGTTTATAAAAACAAAGTAATAATACCTCGTCAACTACCTCTTTTTGAGAATTAACAATTTTGCCAAAAATTAATTGTGGTTTTTGGTGGGGATATTCAGGCAAAGGGCGGTCGAAAATTTGACTAATAATGGAATAAGTTTGGGAACCAGAAATCCGAATTAGAGCGATATTTTGAGTAATGGGAGCAGTAACCAAAGAAGCAATAGTTTTTTCACTAAGCATAAATATTAATATTTTTTAGAAAATTAGTTTAATTTGTTTTGGAAAACTAAATCTCTTAATTGTTGGCAATTATCGACAAAATGAAGAGTGGCCTTTTTTTCGGGTTGTGGTTGGTCGGTTGGCGGTTTGTTTTTATTTTTAGTTTCAAATTTAAAAAAATTTTTGTTAGATTCTGGAAGGACTAAAATTTCGGTCCTTTTTTCAAAAGCAGCATCAATTTTGTCTGGTAAACCCCCTATTGCTGATACTTTCTTTTCATTAATTTTGATTTCGCCGGTCGAGGCTAAATTGTTCGGCAAAGGTTTTTTATGGATAGCCGATATTAGAGCCAAGTAAAAAGCGGTTCCACCGGAGGTTCCGAAGAATGGTCCGTCGGCATTGGCATATAAACAAGAAACTTCTCATTGATTAGGGTTTTGGTTTTCCCAAGTTAGAACAGCAGTAATAAGTTCTTGGATATGGCGGTATTCTTTTCCCTCAGCAAATATTCTCCCGTCAATATTTATGGTTGGTTGGTTTTGACTAGCAGATTTTTTCCGCACGATAACTACTAAATCATCACATTTTCCCCCTATTATTTTTTCTCCTTCTTTTGTAACAGACAAAGTTTTGGTTACCCCTATTCTGGTAGTAGAATTAAGGTCGGGAATATCGGAGGCGGCGATTTTTCAGTCAAAAAGTTTTCGGATATCACCCGCATCATTATAACCTTTTTCTAAAAGTTGACCAATATAATCGTCTGGAACAGGAACTAGTTTTGGATTAGTTTTTAATAAAAATTTTCATTTTTCAATTAATTGTTTTGTTTTTTCATTTATTTCCGGAGTTGGATTTCATTTTTGACTGGGTGGCGGTTTAGGTATTGGTGGAGGTAGATTTTTTTGCTTTGGCGGCGAGTTAGAAAAGGAATTGGGGATTTTAGCAAAATTACTTCTATAAATAAAAAAACCACCACCTATTATTAAAAATAAGCCAATTGTCCCACTAATTATCCAAATTAGCGTTTTTTTTTTTTTTTTGCATACCATAACGAGATTATTTTAACAAAAATGGTAATTTTTCACTCAAATAATATTTTAAACCATAAAATAACCGATAAAAATTTCGGTAATGCTAAAAAGAATATTTAATTTTTCACAAATATAGCCCGGAAGGGGGAGCGATATTTTTATATTTCTGATTTTTTTCTTGAAAAAGAGTTAACTTTTTTTTTAAGTTGTTAATGGTCTGTTTCTCCTCATAACAATTAATAACTTCGCCAACTATCGCTCTAATTTGGTAGCGGAGAAAACTTTTGGCAATAATACTAATCACAATAATATTTTTTTTTTTTCAACTTTTTAAAGAAGTTATTTGTCGCTCGGTTTTAGTTTTTTCTCGTTCTTGCCAACGGCAGTAAGCATAATTAAAAAAATTATGTTTTCCTTGGAAAACTTGTAAAATATTGTCTAATTTTTTGGAGATGAGCGGTAAATTGTATTCTCAACGATACTTTTTTTGAAAAATATTGTATTCGCCAGTATCAATAAAGTAGCGATATTCTTTGCTAACCACATTCCGAATAGGGTGAAAATTATTATCTACGGTTTGAACTTTTTTAATTAGGACATATTGGCGAAGGACTTTTTTTAATAAATTAAACAGTTCGGAGGGAGGGAAAAAGCGGTTTAAGCGGAGGGTAAATTTCTGGTCGAGAGCATGAACTCCTTTATCGGTGCGACTAGCCGCTAAAATGTTAATTTTTTGCTGGAAAACTTTGCTAAGTATGTTTTCAATAGAACCTTGAACTGTAAATTGGTCTGGCTGGGTGGCTCAGCCAAAAAATTCGCTTCCGTCGTAGGCAACGGTTATTAAATAAGAGTAAATTTTTTTGATTTCTCTTTCCATTTAGTTTTAGTCTAAATCCTCTTTTTGAAATTTTTTGTAAGCCAGAGTGAGAGTAAGGCAAGCCAACAGAAAAACCACTCCAATTGCTACCGAGATAACCAAAAGGTAATTTTGGCCTAATCAGAGTCAGCAGTCGTGGGCTCAATTTATTATCTTTAATCCCGATGTTCCTTCTCTACCTTTATAAGTGTTATAAAGTGCGATAGCGACTAAATAACCAATTAAGAAACCTATAAAAATGGAGAGACGAAGAAGTCATTTCAGAATGGTATATCAGACTGATTTCAAAGAGCAAAGCGAGAAGAAGAAAATGAATAGGGGCAGAAAGAAAAAGAGGGGGAGAACCAACAGCGAAAAAGATAAATAGGAAAAAATTTGCGAATTGGTTAAGTTAGTAAAAAAACCACCTTTTCACGCCAGGAGGACAGCGGGCAAGGAATAAAGTAATAAATACAGAATAGTGGTTAAACCAAAAAAAGAAATTACTTTTCCTCAAAAAACTTGTTTCCGACTGGTCGGTATTTCGGTTGACAAGAAAAATAAATCAGTGCCATCGGTTTGGGTTGTTTGTCCAGCATCATCAATTTGTCATCAGAGTAATCAGGAAACGGGAGAGGTAATAAAAGTCCAAACACCGAACGGTATGACAAGATGCAAAAAAAAGATACTTTGAAAAAGGTCATTGTTGGTATCGATGGTTTCTCTCATTCCTCCCCTTCCTATTGCTTGGTTAAAGGTTCAGAAAAAGAATGCTATACTCCCCAATTGGAGAAGTAAAATTATTCAAGTGCTTATCTTGCTAAAAGTTCTTTTTAAATAAAAATTTCAAGAGTGTCGGATATTCATAATAAATTAAATTCAAGTTTGTCCTTCTTTGACCTGTTTCATTTTTTCTTTCAAAATCAGTTTTTCGTAAATTTCTTCAATATCAGCCGGTTTATCTCCTGTGTAAACAATTTTTCCTTTGTCAATAAAAGTAACCTCATCAACTAATTTTTGTAAATCGGATAGAATATGGCTAGAAATTAAAATAGTAACGCCTCGCTGGCGGGCATGTTCTAATTGTTTAAGTAAAATTCCGCGGTAAGAAGGGTCTAGACCGGAAGTTGGTTCGTCAAGGACTAGGATTTTAGGGTCATGCATAACCGAAATAAAATAAAGTAATATTTTACCTCACCCGGTCGATAATTCCCCACAATTTTTATAGCGGTGATTATTTAAATCGGATTTTCGTAAGCGTTTTTCTATTTCCGAAGCGGAAATATTCCGTAGTTGACCCGCTAAATGAATAAAATTCTCTACGCTCATGTTATCACTAAATCTAACTCTTTCGGTCATGAAACCGATTTTTTGATTAACTAATTCATTTTGGCGAATTTTTTGGTTGTCCAAATAAATTTCTCCGCTACTGGGTTCTATTCCGTCCATTAGGCATTTTAAAGTAGTTGTTTTTCCGGCTCCGTTGGGACCAATAAAACCATGGATAGTTCCTTGCCGGACTGAAAAAGTAATATTCCGAAGCACCAACTTATCTCCGTAGACTTTTTTTAAATTTCTAATTTCAATAATATTATCTTTCGTCATGCTTTTTTGCTTTTATATTTATTTTATGGATTTGCTTGGGTAAAAGGTTGATTTTTCACCCGAGGCATAATTATTTCTTTCAAATTTCTTTACTTTAAATCTATTTTACAAAAAAAAAAAAAAAAAAACAGTGGGGGGTAAGAGAGGGCGATTTGGGGATTTTTAACTGTTTTTTACTGGTTCTAACTGGTAAAAATTTTCTAGATTAGCCTGATTGGCGATTACACCGCGTTTTTGCAGGTCTTCAAAAAACT